AGAATTGACCCCAATCATGACATCAAAATCAAATTCCATAATTTTCACCCCCCGAGCCCCCATTTTGGCCGCCATCTTGATTTTGGGGGGTTAGACGCAAAATTGAGCTTGACAACATCGAAATTCTTTTTTTACGCATCGAAATGAAGAGATTAAGATATTTTCCACACTTGCTTCACTTACCGTTCCACGGGAAGCTTTTTTTGAACATAAGAACCTGGACTATAAAAGCAAAACATTTCACGAAAACTTTTAAGAATACCAGATGCAGAAAAAAATCAAATTTTCCCGGGTGTACCAGAATGGCGTCATTACCCATAAGGCAAAAGGGCATGTAGTATAGTACATGTTACATCGGGGGAGTCGAACGGTTGGAAAGGGCGCATCTGGTACCCAGAAGCGCCCAAAAGAGTTCTCCTAACAAAGGTCCTGCTCCCCCGAAGAAAAAGCTTTCAAAAGTTGTATCCCAAATTTTGGAACAACAAGTAGCTAAAAGACCACCCCCTCCTCCTCCTAGGCTTGTTCAAGACCCGGTTGCTGAGGACTCACAATCAAATGACCACTTACAACGTTTGTACAATGTGATTCAACAGAAAATGCTTCGGGAATTCGGTAAGTTGAATTCAGGTGTTTCCATGAAAAAATGCTGTGATGACGTATATTTGTTTTTCTCTGAAAGGGTCAGGAGCTAACATAACGTGATCTTGAAAATGCTCCAATTAATTGGGCTGTACCTACATGTGCTCCTTAAATAGCTCCTTTCTTTTGTGAATTCCCATTTGGTTTACACTGTGATTTCAACAAGAAAAAGAGAACATTCCTCGGAGTCTATAGAGAGAATGCATAGGAAGTTTAAAGCCAATATATTTTTGTTAATCTTCTGTTGAAGAATTGATACTGAGTGCAACTTTATTAATTAACTCTGCTAGTATTGACGAACTTTAAATACATTTCGACTGTAAGAAGCTACTATTTCTGGCTCCTTTAAAAAATGTCGCATGCTATTCGCTTCCCGATGCATTTAGAAGCTTTTTTGGATGGGCTGTTACTTTCCGGAAAATGGTCGGAAATTTAGCTCCTTATAAACCGTTTCCTGCTTGTTTTAAATCTTTATATTTTTAGGGGTGCGCGGTGAGTTATGTTTCATAATAGTTTTGTTAACATAGAACGGTGATTTTCGAAATGCATGGTTTTGCGCCAGGGTATGCGACGTCAAATTTGATTTCGTAAAAAACGGCTCATTCGGTCAATCGGCTTTCCCAGGAAACTACTGCAAGATTTTAATTAACAGTCCGTTGAAAGTTAAGATCATTAGAAATTCCTTCCTGGCATGTTGAAACATGTAATGGTCAATTTGACATAGTTTTCTTCAATAATTGTATTTAAATAAACATGCTTGAAATGATGTAGGTGGCAGGAAAACCCTATGTAAATAGTTTTCTTCGATTTAATTTATTGTTAATATCTCTCAACAGTCGCTTAATAATCTCGATTTTGAACTCTCAAAAAAAAAAGGAAAACATATTTTGAAAAAATCATTTGACATCTCTTTTCTCTCACTTTAATTTATATTATAAATGACTAAATTGTTCACTTAGCTTTAAATTCCCTTGATGCAACGTAAAGAAGCTTTGAGGGAAGATTCCAGTTTCAAGAATTTTAGTGATTGTCTTATTAATTTTACTCCGACTCTTTTGTTTGTTTATTGGATGAATTCTAGGAAGAATCGACCCGCCCACTAAAGAAGAATTTGACTATTTGTCGGAACAATTTCGTGAGGTAGAATTTGAAATGAGGAAAAAGCCAAATCCAGAAGTTTCAAAAAATTTCATAAAACACTATCTGCCAGAGTATAGAGAAGAGGATGAAGTATCATGTGAGTAAACAAATCAAAATTTGTTTTCATTTAAAAATTGCGCCCAAAAACAGGTTGAACACTACACTGAACATCCATCGAAAAGAGCAAACAGAGTAAGAGAGGAAAATTTTTTTGGTACCATTTGATCCATAAAAGTTGTCGTAAACAAAATTATTCGCTGATTTGGGATTTTTACAAAAGGGGAGCAATGGGGGTACCAAAGAGGTCTCGCTAAGGTAAAGTCACCATAGCGGTGCTTAGAAATTTTTCCCGTCAGGATACGGAACCGACGAGTAGACTTTAATTTAACGGTACGGTACTGACAAATTACGTTTTATTTGATGGCACACCGTACCGACGAATAATAACAACGTTAGATTTTTAAATACAACATTTCTGGCCGAACTTCATTAAGAATCACATTATTCGAATCACCCAACTCGAATTGCCTTGGTAGCAAGGATCGAGGAAGACCCGTCGCCAGCTTTGGAATTATATGTAGAAGCCCCTTGCTACGTAGGCAATTTTTTTACAGTCCCTGCAGTAAAAATTGTCTACCCAGCAAAGAGCTGCGAAAATCGAAAACTGTTTTAAAGCTCTGTTGCGGCGAAATGACGCGTTTCTAAAAAACATTATGCAGTACGTAGTGCCCTTGATTTTTTGCGCTCTTTTACGTGCTGTTATCCGTTTTTCCAAATATCATCTACCAAAAAAATTATCGCAATTTTGAAATTCGGGAACGCTCGTAATGTTATTTTCCGAAAACGTACAACCTTGAAAAAACAAGAAATGAACAGTACGCTAAAAAATACCCCGCGACACAAAGTTTCAACTACTTACGACAAAATAAGGAGGAGTAACATCAATTTGAAGGGAAAATATGGAGACTTTGGACGCGCGTAGCTCACTTATGAAGCGTTATTTGGCACATGTGTTTGGACAAAGAAGTCATATTCTGAGCCAAAAAATCGATTCTGAAAGTTAAGTACGTAAACTTTTGGACACCCTGTATACAAGCTCTTTAATGCTCCATTGTCCATTATGTATTTTTGTAAGTGTATTCTTCTTTTTTTTTTTTAAAAAAAAAAAAAGCAAAACTCAATTCCATGCAGTAAAAAAACAATTTAAAAAGCGGGTAACAAAGCTAAAATTTCACGAATAAAACCAAAACGTTCCGGCTGAAAACTCCCTCATCCTCAGTTGGATAAATAAAAAGAAAATGGTAAAAAATCTAAAATAGTACCTGGCTGTGCCTTTCAAAGCGAGAATGTTGTTATCCACAATGTTGTTATTTGTTGTGTGAAAACAACATTCTCGCTTCGAAAGGTACAGCCAGGTACTATTTCAGATTTTTTACCATTTTTTTTTTTACGTATCCTATATAGGATGGCTGAGTTTTTAGCCGTAACGTTTTGGTTTTATTCGTGTAGTTTTAGTCTTGTTACCCGCGTTTTAAATTGTTTTTTATTGTATACAGTGGACTCTCGATAACTCGAAATTGAAGGGAATCGGTTTTTTCTTCGAGTTAGCGAGGTTTCGAAATAAAGAGAGTTCGAATTAAAGAGATTCATGCGGAAGGATTTCGAATTAGAGAGGTTCGAATATAGAGAGGCAAATGGACGGATTTACGTCGAAAGGAACCAAATATATCAGTTTATTTCTTTACGGAGGTGAGAATTACACTAAGTTATTATTAAGTATTAATTATTTATTTTTAATTTTAAAATTATTAATTACATGTTTACATTTTGACAATCCTATCAGCTCTTTCAGGCACCCAGGTACATAAACAGTTGACTTCGAATTGTAGAGGGAATGTACCGCCTTATTTCGAATTATAGAGAGAGGACCATATTTACTTCCCACACTTCGAATTACAGAGAGAATTTTCGTCGCAATTTCGAATTATAGAGGGTCGAGCCAGCTTAAAAATTTCGAAATAACGAGGGGAGAAAAATACATTGATTTTCTTCGAATTATCGAGGGATTTCCTAGGGGAACGGACTTTCCTTCGAATTAACGAGGTTTTCGAATTATCGAGGTTCGAATTATCGAGAGTCCACTGTATCTTGTTTACGGGCTGCGGAGCGTCTATCGTACCTCAATTCCATGTTCTATGAATTTCAGTACTCGACTCCCCCGCCGCAAAATATAGATGTTTCGGAGTCTGCCACGAAAGATTCGGATTCATATACATTCCACCGAGCTTCGATCCCGAATTGACCCCCGAACCCGTTATAGATACCCAGGAATTTTTCGCGTGCGAAAACCTCGTCAGGGTCACGGATGGGGAGCCAAGTCGTAAGCCTGAGCACGCGCCGTTCATGGACGAAGACGGCAATATCAAGTACCTCTGTGACTGCAAAATCAACCCACATAACTCTACTGGTTAGCTCTGAGGTACCACTTTTCACTCAAGGGTTTCAATGATGCGAGAGATAAGTACTCAGCGCCGAAAGCGGTGGCATGTTTGAAAGACGCAATCAAGGTCACAGACCTGGAATGGAAATCCTACGATGAATTTAAGAGAGATCTCGCGATGATTTTTTCCAAATATAAGATGCCTAACCCGGATGCGCGGTCCTTACTTTTGGTACAACAGGAAAAGGGTTTCGCCGGTCAAGATGAGCTGATTGATGAACCTGATCACTGGGACAAGCAGCAATTCTATAGGCAACCAGAGAAACTACATGAGACGGAGAAAACACAACAGGAGCTAAAGAAAAAACCAAAGGGACCAGGGTGGAGACCACAAAAACCGGAGAAAAAAGGCTAAAATATCGTATCTGTGCTTGGACGAAAATTTGAAATATGGGACATTCTTGTCCCTGGTCTTTATTTGACAAGCACATAATTGTAATTGCATTGTATGTTCTATTCCTGTTTTTTGCCTTAATATGAAGAAAACACTTCTTCCTAAAAACATGCATTAAGAAATTGCCTCCTATTCATGTTTTTTTTTGTAATTTTTTACCCTCTGAATGGTGTCAAACTCACGACCGTCCCGCATTCCGACCATAGAGTACATAGAGTCGTAATGCAAATGGGAGAGCTGGCGCCATCATGTTCTGCTCGACGAGTTCCGAGCCCGGTGTGCGCCGAGTTCGGGTCACTTTTTCGATACATTTCGATCCAAAATGGCGGTGTGGAATACGTGGTGATTCCTATCTTTTTTGTTTACATCGGATGGCCGGGTACCCGTGTATCGCAAACAATCGATTATGTATCGAAAGAGTGACCCGGCGTCGCACAGGAGTCTAGGAATTCGGGACCTGGAAAATGCTTAAAAGTGGCGCCAGCTCACCCACTTACATTACGACTCTATGCACTCTATGATTCCGACACAATGGCTCCTAGCTTGCAATGTTACAACTCAAAGATTAGGACAAGCTGTGAAAAAAAAATTCCGAAAACATTGGGACCATACACGTTTTCAGATCCTAGAAAGCGTCCAGGATTAAGAAAACACAACTTCCAGGGGAGGTGATGAACTTGACTATTTTTTTTACTTTTTTCACCCTTAAATGTCCCCCATTTTAAATTTTTGCCCAGTTAAGGGTTATAGAAGCGTAACAACTTTTTCACCAAATGATTAAAAAAATCATGGGAAATATATTGCAGCACTTCCATTGCTTGCAACGTATCTGGCAAATTTGAAAACCCTGTAACTTGGGCCTTGTTTAGCAAATCAAAATAAAAAAAAAATCCCGTCTAGATTATTTACTAAATACTTGAAATATACCAATAAATAGATTTTTTTCATAATTGTTTGTGCAAGTTTTTAAATCTAAACTCCAGCCATGCGATAGTGTTAATGACTCAGCTAATAAGATTGCGATCTACTCCGTTCCATCCTGGCACCATAATCTTAAATTGGAAATTTCATCTGGAATTTGTGTAAATTTTAATAACTGTGACTGTCCATGGGGCAAGATCTTTTGTTCACAAAAACTCAAAAATTAAGTGGGAGCGGACTGGTAGTCGAAAAGTTAGGAGGCGACCTAAATGTGGGGGCCCCTCCTGTCGTTCGGGGGCCCCTCTAAGAAGGTCCGGTTGCCCTCTCCCGGAAAATTTTGAAAATTTCATACTTTTTAAACGCAATTTTAAGCTTTATCGGAGTTAAATTCTACAGTTCTTGAACTTCAAAATAAACCATTTTCAGGATTTTTCGAGGGCCTCTTCATCACATAGCTCTAGGCGACCTCTCATGTCTCCTAGAGACAAATTTTGGGGCCTTTTAGTGACTGAATAGGGTAGGAAAATTGCAACATTACGGGGGAAAAAAACGATGACACGAAAAAAATTCACCGAAGGGGCCCCCGCGGCAAATTCTTAGGAGGCGATCGCCTCCCCGCCCCCATGGCCAGTCCGCCCCTTATTATTTTTAAATCATTTCAGAAAATTTCCGAAAAAACTACAGGAAGCTTTGTAAAAAACATCGATTGAAAATAAAACATCAGTAGATGTGTGCAACGTTACAATCGGAGATAAATACGCTTTTATTCGCGGGCAGCCGTCGGTACTTCCGTTCATCCACGGCAGGCGCAATGATACAACTATTTGACCACGGATGTAGGCATGTTGCAGCCAGCCGGATTGAAGGCGCTTCAAACTGCGAAGATCACGCAGCCGTGTTCCCTCCCATCCCTGGCTGTCGCAACGCTGAAATCGCCGCAAACCTAAGAATACGCATCATTATTTTCACTTTTTGCCCTGCTTTACTATATTTAAATTGAAATATGTATTTCAACTATAACGATTCAAATAATTTAACTGTATTTGATTCGTTTTTTGATTGAAGAAAATGGAAAAACGAGAGTAACGCGTCGAAACTTTCTATGATTATTATTTTTAAATCATTTTAGAAAATTTCCGTAAAACCTTCAGAAAACTACAGGAAGCTTTGTAAAAAACATCGATTGAAAATAAAACATCAGTAGATGTGTGCAACGTTACAATCGGGGATAAATACGCTTTTATTCGCGGGCAGCCGTCGGTATTTCGGTTCATCCACGGTAGGCGCAGTGATACAACTATTTGACCACGGATGTAGGCATGTTGCAGCCAATTGGATTGCAGGCGCATCAAACTGCGAAGATCAAGCAGCCGTGTCCCCCCTCCCCCCATCCCTGGCTGTCGCAACGCTGAAATCGCCGTAAACCTAAAAATACGTGGCATTATTTTCACTTTTGGCCCTGCTTTACTACATTTAAATTGAACTATGTATTTCAACTATGACGATTCAAATAATTTAACTGTATTTGATACTGGGGGATAACTGGGGGGGCGTTCCGCGCCATTAGGGTCGACCGTCATTCACATTTCGTGATGAGGGAGGAGTTGTAGCTTCGGGGTGAAAACTATGCCCCCATGCTGAGGAAAAACGCCTCTTATGAACTTCTGGCTGTTGCCAAATTTACATTAAAAAACACAGATTTTCCGGGGAAATTTGAACATTTGCTTTTATATTTTTCTGACAAATTGGTTCGAAATGCTATCTAAATCATTTGAAACCGTCCAAGAAATACATTCATAACTTTCCTTTAAAATATGACTTGTTTGAGAGACATTTTGCAACTTTCGCGTGATTGTACAAACGACGTTTATCCTTGTCATGGCTGAGCATGTCTGTCAATTTATTGATAGTCCTTAAAAGGAAAGTAGTGGGTCCCCAGGATACATAAAAACATTCAAAATAAAGCAAGTCGGCGTATAAGTTTTAACTTCGGTGTATTTTGTTTATCGCTACACCAATCTTTATAATAACATGACACCATCGATTCAATAAAATTAATATAATTCAAGAAGGGAAAATAAACAAAAAAAAATAATAACCTTTTAAAAAACCAATTTCTTCGGATAATTTATAGATGGTGTTAAACAAGTGAGAACCATACAAGGCACCTGGACCTGACGGAATACTGCCAGCACTATTACAACAGGGAACTGAAATATTGCAACCTGCGCTTATCAGGATCCTAAGAGCCAGCCTTGCATTTGGTTACATACCTCAAGGGTGGAGGGAGGTCAGAGTGGTCTTTCTGCCCAAGCATGGCCGGAAGAACTTCGACCAGGCCAAGGCATATAGGCCTATCTGTCTTTCTTCATTCATAACTAAAACACTGGAAAGGCTAGTTGACAGAAGGATGTGTGAGGGGCTACTGAGGGTAGCACCATTGCACAGCCACCAACATGCCTACCAGATTGGGAAGTCTACGGAGACAGCACTGAATTCCCTTGTTGAGCAAATCGAACGAGCTATGAAGAGCAAGGAAGTAGCATTAGCTGTTTTTCTCGACATCGAAGGAGCGTTCGACAACACATCCATTGATGCGATATTAAACTCTGCCAGGACAAAAGGGCTGAACAACACCACATACAGATGGGTAGAGGCCCTCCTTAGAGGTCGTCATGTAAATGCAGACCTGTTCGGAGAATCGAGAAGGGTTCGCGCAACCAGGGGCTGCCCACAAGGGGGAGTCATCTCTCCCAAATTGTGGAACCTGGTAGCAGATGAACTTCTGGTTCGTCTAAATGAGGCTGGATACTATGCGCAAGCATATGCAGATGACTTCGTTATACTGATAAGAGGAAAACACTGCAACGACCTCTCAGACCTAATGAGCGGAGCTCTCAGGATCGTGGAGGAGTGGTGCAGAGATAAGAACCTCAGGGTGAATCCTACGAAGACGACATTGGTCCCATTCACAAGGAAATACAACCTAGGTAACATCCAAGCTCCAAGCATTTTTGGAAGTGAAATTAAGGTGGCTGACACAGTCAAATATCTAGGTGTCTACCTAGATAAAAGAATGAACTGGAACCAGCACCTAGAGCACATCATAAACCGAGCAAAAAGGGCCATGAATTTGGCCAGAAGGTCGGTTGGCAAGAGGTGGGGGCTGAAACCGGCGATAACCAAATGGGTCTATACGTCGATAGTAAGACCCATCATAACATATGCAGCATGCATATGGTGGGAAAAAACGGAGCAAAAGGGAGCTCGGAATAAGCTGGACTCGCTGCAAAGACTGGCATGCTTGTACACGACAGGAGCAGTGAGAACAACTCCAACAGCGGCAATGGAGGTGATGCTAGGCCTGCCACCCCTGCACCTAGCAGTGGAGGGGGAGGCAGTAGCAGGAGCCTTTAGGCTGAAAATCAACAGCTTAGATGGCAAACTGCGGCCAAGACACCAGTCACTCTGTGAGAGTCCAAGCTTCCCTCCGGCTTTACACATGGTCTCTGATCAAATGAAAACAACGTACAACTTCGACATTCCATACAGGCTCCGCATCAGCGAAGGCGAGGGGAACCAGAAAATGGTAGACGATGCCCTGGCTGCCTCGGAAGTTAGCTACTTCACTGACGGATCTAAGTCAGGAGATAAGACAGGAGCAGCGGTGTACGGAAACAAAAACTGCAAACTGAAGGCGAGTCTCGGCAGGAGCACCACGGTGAACCAGGCGGAGCTATACGCCATAATGATGGCAGCGAATAACGCTATAGACAAAGGCTGGAGAGACAAAAGGATCACCTTTTTCTCGGACAGCCAAGCAACTCTAAAAGCGGTATCAAACTTCAAGGTCAATTCAAAATTGACCATGGAGGGCATACAGAGGCTCACAAGACTGGCCAACGACAACCACGTCACATTGGTGTGGGTTCGTGGGCACACAGGTGTGAGGGGGAACGAAACTGCTGACCGCTTAGCTAAGGAGGCATCAGAGGAAAATTACATCGGACCAGAACCAGTGTTTGGACTGACCAAAAAAGGATTCAGAACAACAGTGAGGGACTGGGTGATGGAAGAGGCGAACAAAGAGTGGCAGAATGCCGAAGGCATGAGACATTCCAAGCAAATGCTGGAAGGCTACTCAAGGAAAATGACTGCAAACCTGTTGCATCGTAGCAGGGAGCAGCTAGGTATACTGTCGGGATTACTGACAGGACACAATCTCCTGCGGAAACACATGCACAGGATGGGTATCTTCAAGGATGAACCAAAGTGTAGGCTGTGTGAGGTAGAAGAGGAAACTGCAGAGCATATCATCTTCGACTGTGAAGCTCTGGAAAAGAAAAGACAGGACATCCGAGGAGATAACTCCTGGGATGACTGTCTAGCACCTGAGTTAGTTGCGGGCACTCTCCTCCAACTTGTTGAAGGGGAGGGCTTCTGGGACTAACCAGGAACCAACAACTGAGCACAATAGATCGAGAGGTCGCAGTGCATGGGGCAACCCACCAGAAAAAGGAAAAAAAAAAAAAAAAAAAAAAAAAAAACAAGTGAGATCATTGTGCCAATCACCTAGTAACTATTATAACGCGATTGTCATTTTGCATTGACAATTCATCAAACTGAAGCCACTTATATTTCGCCATTTTTCCACATAACGAACATAGAATCGAAAAACCCAAGTCAACAGAGGTTGCGGAGATTATCCGTTTCAAAACGGAAAGTACAATTTAATACCATTATAACGCAATCATCATTTTGCACTAATATTTCATCATACTATAGCCAGTTTTATTTTGCCATTTTCCCCCAAAATAATCGTACCATCAAAAAACTCAAGTGAACGGAAATTGCGGAGATTATTCGTTTCAAAATCGGGAGTAAGATTTTATTTTATAGGCGATTGTTAGGCTAAATTGTTGCAGCACAAAGTTAATCTAAATTCATCTAAGAATTAAAATGAAATATAATTTAATCGAATGTCAAATCAAATTAATTGCAATTTATTATTTAAGTTTCTCGCGATTCTTCAGGGTCTCGCAAAGCGAAACAAGGTTCCGCTTGTTTAGGAAAAAATCCTTTCGCATGATTTAAATGAATTGCTTCTGAAAAAATTGAAGATATGAAAGAAAAAATATTGGTATTGAAACTTTCATGATAGCTTCTTCTTATTCCTCCTCGTCCTTTTCAGCCTTACCGTCCTCCACGTCCTCCTAGTTTCTCCGCGTCCCCCTCGTCCTCCTCATTCTCTTCGTCTTCCTTGTCCTCCTCGTCCTCCTAGTTTCTCCGCGTCCCCCTCGTCCTCCTCATTCTCTTCGTCTTCCTTGTCCTCCTCGTCCTCCTAGTTCCTCCGCGTCCCCCTCGTCCTCCTCATTCTCTTCGTCTTCCTTGTCCTCCTCGTCCACCTTCTCTTCCTCGTCCTCCTCGTCCTCCTCGTCCTCCTCGTCCTCCTCGTCCTCCTCGTCCTCCTCGTCCTCCTCCTCCGCCGCCTCCTCCTCCGCCTCCTCCTCCGCCTCCTCCTCCGCCTCTGCTACCTTCTCTGCCTCTGCTACCTCCTCCACCTCTGCTCCCTCCTCCACCTCTTCGTGAGGAGGCTGTGGCTGTGTGAGGAGGTGTTCCTGGCAAAATTTCACACAGGAATCTGTACCTAAATCGCATATTTTTGTCACACGTAAGAGCTTCATTTTTGACAGTTACGGCTCGACTCCTTCGATCGGAATTCAGCTGGACAATCTAGACAATTTTTTCTAGTGGCAATATTTCTATACTCCCATCATGGTCAGAGTCCCTTTATACTGAGAGTCAAGACAACACCCCTCGTGGAATCACAAACGGGAATAAAGATTACAGAAATTGAACGTTTTTTGTTGGTTTTTGTAATCTTTGATCGGCCCATTCTCAAATTCCTCTCTCCGTTCCTTCTCTCATTCCGTTTGTTCCTTGCCGAACCCGTAATTCCCTGGTCCATTCCAGATTATAATCTTTGCAATCGGTGAAAATGTAATCTTCATTCCCGTTTGTGACACTGTGAAGGCCTAAAATACGGGAACCAATCAGAAATGGATTCACATTGTCTTGACTCTCAGTACAAAGGGACTCTAATCATGGTGAGGAAGGTGGACTGCTGCCTGCCCGCTTAGAGTTTCGGTTCCTCGGCCACAAACCGCTCCATCTTCTGCGAATTGAGGACGCAGAAGACTTAAATGACCAAGAGGACCTATTACTCTCACTTCCACTACTCGGAGATCGAGGATATCTACTAAAATATTCATTGCAGCGCTGGCTTTGTTTCCTTGACAGTGGCGAGCAACAGGACCAATCTTTATCCTTTAAATTGACCACCGTGATACTGATATTGTCCGCGGATCCGCGGAGGTGCGCGAAGTAGGCCAAACTTTTGGCGCCATAATAGTCCTCGAGAAACCGATTTTTGATGAAAGCGACCACTTCTTCGTTCGACATGACGTCCCACAGACCGTCCGTGGCGAGGACTAAAAATTGAGGCTTGTACCAGCACAGATCGTAGATGCGAACATCGGGCTCCGAGCTGAGCCCGGACTCCTTGTGTCGGGAATCTCCCAATGCCCTGGACATTGCTAAATCGCCATTCAATCGATATGTGCCGTCAGTGAGGATAACCTGCCCACCGGCAGCAATGATTTTCGCCATCTCGCGTTTCTGTAAACGAATAAATAAATATTAACAATGCCGAGCTACGGAAAATCGCCGTATGAACATTTGAAAGTTTTCTCGTGATAAATGATTTATTTTTGAGGAACTTTATGGTATCTCCAACCAATTGCGGTGAACGCACGGGTCGAAAGACGAGATGTTGGAGTTTTTTAGCCAACGTGCTTAAAAAATTCAGCTTAAAGCTGAAATCTCATTAGAGAGGGAAAAAGCCCACCCACGAGCACAATTTTCCCTCTAAGAGATACGCTGTTTGGAGCAACACTAGTTACGTCCATTCAGGAAGGCAACTACAGACCTCTCGAGCTTGGTAGCAGAAAATTCAGGAGGCTGCACTGCACTGAGGATTGGCCCAACAAGGCCGAAAAGCGTCTGCAGTTGCCTTCCTGAATGGACCTAACTAGTGTTGCTCCAAACAGCGTATCTCTTAGAGGGAAAATTGTGCTCGTGGGTGAGCTTTTTCCCTCTCTAATGAGATTTCAGCTTTAAGCTGAATTTATGGTATCTGTTTATTTAGCTACGACTCGTGGTGCCACGCAACAAAAATTGCTGCATTCAGCTGCAAGTTAAAGGTGCTGTGTGGCTAAATGTAACAATCAAAATTGGTGTGCCTAAATACAAAAAAATTGTTTGCGTGCTGCCAAGCAACAAAATTTATTGCAGTTAGCCACAGACTTCAGGATGACGTTAGCAACTTTATGATTACATTAGCGACCTTAAGATGACGTTAGCAACTTTAAGATGACGTTAGCGACTTCGTGATCACATTAGAAACTTTATGATTACATTAGTGACTTCATGATTACATTAGCGACTTCATGATTACAGCGATTCTATGATTACATTCGCGACTTCAGTGTTAGGTTGGATTAGGTTAGATCAGAAGATTGTTTTAAATCTTTGTAAAGAGTCTTTTTTTTTGCGCATGATCATACTCAGTCTCTCAGGCAAAATATTAATAAATGATGCATTTAAAAATTCCATTAAGAATAGAATAAAATAAATTCGTTGCATTTACCCACACTCATTTTCAATAATTGTTACATTTAGCCACACAGCATCTATAAGCTGTAGCTAAACGCAAAACTTTTTGTTGCACGGCAACACGAGCCGTGGCTAAATGGGATATAATCAAATTTATAAGTATATTTTTTTGAAATTTTAGATACGCCACCGAAAAAAAGGATGCTGACTTAACATTCTGGATGTAAAAAAGTGTGCGACAACTCTTACAAAACGCTGATTTAACCGTCACAGCAGTTACTGTAGCAATGTCAAAATGTAAAGTTAACCGGTGTGGTGGTTAACTCAGCGTTTTGTCAGTTGTCGCACACTGATTTACATCCAGAACGTTAAGTCAGCATCCTTTTTTTCGGTGTTTAGATTAAATTGTAAATCTAGTCCTAAGAAAAATTTCTAGAAAGAAATTCACAAGCTTCCCTGAAAATATTATAAATTATCAAGGGAAATTTGACAACACCTGAAGGTTCATTCGGCGTTTTGGTTTAGCACAAACGATCGCAACCACGCACAAAACTGAAAATTGGCCTTACGCTGTCATGTTTCGGTGTGTTTTGATTGAAAACAAATGCCCCAAAATACCCCTTTTTCCCTTTTTTCATGTCTGAGTAAGCCTTAAAAGAATGAAGTACTATTTCACTATTTCTCTCTCTCTCTTAAATTAACTGTATAACATTCTGGTGCCGATTTTTAGCCTCATATGGAGTTGTAAATTTAAGACCATTCATTTTTATCAAATTCTGTCCTAGTTTCAGTATATGTACAAATCTCGTACAAATATTTTCAACCTAAGAGTTTTCAGACTTTCTATAGATACACTTATCGTGATTTTTGAGTCACTTGCCGTGAGAAACAACTCTCCTTTACAGTCTGGTAATAGATTGCAAAAAATACATTATTTCGACTAAATTAAGTTCAGTTATACAAAAAAATTGAAGAATGGAAATTCAAAACCTGGTTATGTGCAATTAGGTGTTGCTAAGATTGCGCATGATGTCACTCAAAGTAAAAGAACCTTAACGCAATCACTGTATAGGCTTTTTATTAGGAAATTCTCTCTAAATTGTCTTCTCACTATCAACACAAGAAACGTTATTATTATGCCATTGCATTTCCGGCATATAAAACAAAACAATGGGTCACTAAACTATGGTCGAATTTTGACTCGAGAATACATTCACCAGAAGGTAAATGACGCAAAGAACACGATGCGTACATTAAAAACGTGAAAAGTCAACTCAGAAATCACCAAATACGCTACCTATCGGGTAAGCGGTTCGTAAAAAACAGGAGGTTTAGTGACCCATCCTACCATTCTAGGAACACCTGCTGGCGCTTACAAGCACTGAGAAAAAAACACATTGGATCTAGAGTCCAGACTCTTAAAAACATCGACAAGAAAAAGTACTCTTGATTCAATCAGAATCTAGCTTAAATCAAGAACCAAGCCTCTTAATTTAAGCGGACTTCGTCTTGATCCAAGCAAAAATCCGATTGAATCAAGAGTATTTTTTCTTGTCAACGTTTTCAAGAGTTTGGACTCTAGATCCAATGTGTTTTTTTTTTTCCAGTGAGGTTTTGAGCCTCCGTTGATATTCTGCCCAGTGGCGTGGCGTGCTTTGCGATATATCGATTGATATTCCATTCAAACCTATGGAAAAAGATCGATTATCAGTGCGTTTGCAACGAACGCCATAATAATCGATTCTTTACCACTTCAAATATGGGATTATATCGATAGTCGATTATCACTCCTCGCCACTGCTTGTTCGTTCAGAGTTATACGCACGTCCCCGGGCTTCTGATCGATAGATATTGGCTTTGTATTTCCCTTGGAGTCGCACATTACTCCTCTTGAGTCTCCCACATTCGCAACAATCAGCTTTAATCCGACAATCAGCGCAATCAGTGCCGTTGAACCTGCGGAAATGCGTCATGAGTATAGGTCATATGTCATATCATGTCATATCGACGGTGCAAGTCGGCAATCACATAACTCGGTTTGCGACGTCGCAGACTTCCTGTCATACTTTATTTTTTAAATGGAAAACTACTCAACGGCGATTCTTTAAAACTGTCATGATTTTTCTTCTCAATGCGAAGAAAATTCTGCAAAAGCTTCAAGAAATAATGTCAATTTGCTCTCCTTTAAAAAAATGACGTAGAGGCGGAGATTTTCAGACACCGCAAACGAGTTATGTGATTGCCGCCTTTCACCGTCGGTATGTCATATCATGTCATATGTCGTCATAATGGAGATGTTGCATGTGTGAGGGATTTGCGATTTGACCATTGATTCTTATGTAAAAGTTCACGAGAAACACGATGGTGCCACTGGTATTCTCTGAAATCATCTCCCAAGCTCAAAAAAAGCTCTCTAAGTGAGGCAAAATTGGAGGGGATATCCCAAACCATCCTGAGAGTCCACCTCTACATCAAAACAAACTCTCCATGCAAAGATAGGGAGCAAATAACTTGACAGAGCTGCCACTTTATTTGGGGACTCCAAAACTGAAAACACGGCAACCCTGCTAATGTATTTGCTCCCTATCTTTGCATTCAGAGGTGGACTGATCTCAGGGTAGGGTGGGATATCCCCTCCATTTTTGTCTTCACATTGAGAGCTTTTTTTGAGCTTGGGAGATGATTTCAGAGAAAACCAGTAGCACCATCGTGTTTCTCGCGAACTTTTACATAAAATCAACAATTAAATCGCAAATCCCTCACACATGCAACATCTCCATTCATATTGTATGTCGATGACCATGTGGGAAACTGCGTATCCCCATTTGCGGCGTTGCATATTTCCCATCAAACTTCATTCTTTTAATAAACTTTCACACATTTTTAATTCCTTGTAATAAACACACAAAATGCGTTACCTACCGTAATTTTTCATTTTCTTGTGGAATACTAGTTACCGTAATTTTTGGTCCATTCAATGAAGTTTGATTTTTCGTCTCTGGTATTAGCAGAATATTCTGTAAATATTTCAAGCCGCACAAAGTCGGCTTGCATCTCTTCGAAAAAATAAAGTAGGAGTGGAAGTTTTGAAACACCGCAATGGAGATACGTTGTTCTGCACATTGAACATCGATGACACCATTATGTTGTAATACTGGAAAGACCAGCGGCCCGCTTATTGAAACTATGTCTGACAAAACAAGGCAAAGCCCTATTTTAACCTTGAAAAATATCACATCTCGATGTCGTATTGCGCGGAAAAAAAGCACGAGGTGGTTGAATGATATGGACATTTCCAATTGGACGTATTTCTGTCAAACGGAGCTATGTGCATTAAGACATGAGCCCTGAGACTCATAAGAATACACGCATAGCAGGGCTCACGTCATGATGCACATATTTCCGTTTGATAGAAATACGTCCAATTTATTGTGGTAGTACCCCAATTAATCATGGTAGCACCCGAGGAGCTCATAAATAATTATTCAGATTTTTGCACCGAAACATCCATTATTATCGTTATGATAGGGATGTTAGTGTCATTAAATATTTTATATCCTCCTTTCCGCTTATGCAATTTCGATTGACGCATTACGGGCTCATAAAACGCTCGTTTCATTTTGACAATTTTGATCAATCATAATAATGTTCTGCACGGTCTAAAATGGATTATTGCTCACTCTCAAACTGGAAAATCGTGGGAATATAAAAATCAAATTTTACTTTACCTTTAATATTACGAGAGCTGTTCACTTAAAAGTTAGAAGATGACCAAGGATATTTTACTCTCCATATTTTTAGAATGATTAGGGCATACTATTAAGAGCGCATTCCGAATTAATTTTCCTGTTGCAATATTTTTCTAGAGTAAAAATAAGATTCGTTCCTTATAAATAATGTCTCAAAAATCACGATGAGCTCCGGCACGGTGGCTCTTGGTCATCCCTTTAACCCTTCTATGTCCAAAAATTTTTTTACACTGAAAGTCCCGGCGCAGAGATACAACTATTCGTGCTTGACGGATGTCCGTGGTGCATCTGAAAAATTGAAGGCGCGATGGCGCGAGGCGTGAAACTCGCAATGCTCCGCTCCAAGGCACTGATGAAATGTTGATCGGACTCAGGAGAAAATTTAAAAACGATACTCGATTACGTCCCTCCTATCTTCGGGTGTGTTTCTCACGTAGTCCTTGAAGCACCAACACAAATAAGACAAAAGGAACCTAAGCAAGAGGAAGGGGGAGGACGCGTGTTGATGACGACGCAGAGATACAACTATTCGTGCTTGGTCGATGTCCGTGGTGCATCTAAGAAATTGAAGGCGCGATGGAGCGAGGCATGAATTCTGCGTGAATAAGCGCATCGGCGAACTCTGAAATGCACTCCTAACTTGGCAATCTGCATAAGAAATTTGCGTTTTTTTTTAAAGATTCCCGCTTCAAAAAGGATACTACAGCACAGGTGAACATTTCGTTAGAGGTGTCGTTCCATTCAATCCCTGCTCAACATGTCCGACGCTTCCGCGCGCAAGTTGAGAAGAGCACGAGGTCAATCAAGGCGGATATCTATCAACGCGAGAAAAATGTGAGTGTAAAACTAGACACGCTGATTGTTATCAGGTGGTAAGAATCATCGTACCGTCACAAGTGTTTTGGCGGATTGGCGTCGGCTATGTTGAATATTGCGTAGTATCCTTGTGAGCAGAGGTTGGATGGAATGACTCCTCTATCGAAATGTTCACCTGTGCCGTGGTATCGTTTTTGAAGCGGGAAGCTCACGCAAATTGTGAAGTAAGGTTTGCGTTTCAGACTTTGCCGATGCGCTCATCGTGATTTTCGAGACACTCTCTATAAGTAACAACTCTTATTTTTGCTCTAGCAAAAGTTTGGAACATTATTCACGAAGATAGGAGCATTTAAGTATAGCATTTTGTCGGAGAAAATGTTGCAAAGGTCAGAACGGAGTTAAGGCGTTCTTGCTGTGCACGGTATTCCAGCGCATTCGATTTATATTTCAAAGTCAATCTTTGATTTTTGCTCGTTTCCTGTTATTTGCTTTATTTTCTATTCATTTTTTAAAATTTCTCTGCTTCCTAATCTTTCAATTATTTATATAATTGTTTTACAGACATTATGATAACACCCCTGAGATCTTTAATTCTCTTGTTTTGCACATACGAGGAGCAAAGCGCATCAAAGGATCGGACCACGGAATATTCAGAGGGGGGGAGGGTGGAGGAAGAGTAACTTACCAGCATTATGAATGAGTATTCTTTTCAAGATTTCTTCGTCAGTTTTCTCCACAGCTTTTTTTAGAGCATCTTTGTAGTCAATACCATCGATTATAAATTTCGACTTTTCTGTATACAAATTTGGATTGATTAATGAATTATTCATATCTTATCTCTAAAACAATATTTAACAGATTTTCCCGCGGAGGCCTGTATGCAATTTGAAAAAAAAATTGAAAATGTTTTCTCACGATTAGATGATAATGCATTTACTGGCTATCAACTCTTCGTTTCCGGAACGAACGAGAATAAGTCCATTCCAAGATGTTGCTAGATTGACTCAAACTAGAGTCCCTTTATACTGAGAGTCAAGACAATGTGAATCCATTTCTGATTGGTCCCCGTATTTTAGGCATTCGCAGTGTCGCAAACGGGAATAAAGATTACATTTTCACCAATTGCAAAGATTATAATCTGGAATGGACCAGGGAACTACGGGTTCGGCAAGGAACAAACGGAATGAGAGAAGGAACGGAGAAAGGAATTTGAGAACGGGCCGATCAAAGATTACGAAAAACGTTCAATTTGTGTAATCTTTATTCCCGTTTGTGACTCCATGAGGGGGTGTTGTCTTGACTCTCAGTATGAAGGGACTCTAACTCAAACAATTCAATTTTTCACAGGAATGTGCCCGGGCAATTTTAGTCCTATATTTTTCTGATTTTTACATGAGATCCGAAGAGATGAGTGAAATTTTGGTTAGGAATGCCCGAGATCTTCCTGGACACGCAAGTCGCGAGGAAAAGTTTAGCAGCACTGAAATATAGTTACATTTTTTTGGTTAGGAAAATGGCGGACTATTTAAAAAGTGGGCGTGAATGAACAACAACAAGACTGAGAATCTGCTCCCCTTTGGCAACCTTTGTGAAGCAATCGTTGTCTTAGAGGACTAAGAATATGAACTTTCAGATATGAAAATTTGCAGTGCTCTTGTAGTAGGAAAGATGAACTCGTAACATAATAAAATTGAGTGAAAAACTAATCATAAAACAAGATAAATCAACGCGAGGTCGTGAAATCCTTGTATATTTATACATACATAAAGTCGCGATTATAGCGCCGCCTCGCGCTCTGCGACGCCCAATCGCCATTGCCCCCTATCCTCCCAGAGATCATCAGGCAATTGGCACCTTCTGATCTCCTCCTCCACCCCTTGTCGCCAACCTTTCACAGGACGTCCACGCCGTCGCCTTCCGGGAGGAACCCAATCGAAGACCTGCTTGGGCAACCGATCATCTGCCATCCTTCGCACATGTCCATACCAGACCAACTGCTTGGACCTGATATCGTGCACGATGTCCTTTTCCACACCCATTATCTCGCGTACCCTTTCATTGCGGATACGCTCTCTTCTCGATATCCCAGCAGACCTTCGCCAAAAGTCCATCTCGGTTGCCCTAAGCATGTCTTCAGTTCTTTTCTTAAGTTGCCAGACCTCACTCCCGTAAGTTACGATACTCTTCACGATGACGTTGTAAATTTTCCTTTTGGTCTCCTTGGAGATACTCTGGTCCCAGAGAACCCCATTTAGCATCGCGATAGCTTTCCTGCCTTGCACATTCCGATCTTTAATGGCCCGATCCAAATTTCCGTCCTTAGTTAACCGAACTCCGAGATATTTATACTCTTCACAGTCCAGGATCTTCCGGCCATCCTCCAGTTCAATGCTTTGCTGATCACCACCGATAACCAACTTCTCCGTCTTAACCACATTTACTTCCATTCCCCACTTTCGGTATACTTCCACTAGCTTCCGCGTCATGTAATTCGCATCTTCTTCGTCCTGAGCTATTACCACCTGATCATCAGCAAAGCACAGAGTATAAAGGGTGCCATCTTCACGTAGCGGGACGCCCATTCCCGAAAAGCATCTTTTCCATTCCTTTAAAACTTCTTCCAGGTACACTTTAAATAAGGTTGGCGACAAACAACACCCTTGTTTCAGTCCTTTAGTAATTAAAAACCCCAACGATAACTCCCCATGCGATTTAACCCTAGAGAAAGCCCCACCATAAAATTCCTTAATAGCACTAATTAGTCCCCCACTAAAACCCCTTTTGTTCAAGGCTTCCCAAAGTTTCATCAATGGCACACTATCGTAAGCTTTCTGGAGATCCACAAACACTAGATGTAATTCCTGGCCAACTCCCTTCTTTTTCTCTATGACGTGGATGATGGTAAATAAGTGATCAATCGTTGACCGACCGGCTCTGAAACCTGCTTGCTCTTCCGCTTCATGTTCTTTCCACTCCTCTTCAATTTTTGCTTTCAAGATTTTTCCATACACTTTGCTCAGGGTACCTGCAACCGACAGTCCTCTATAGTTATCACACTCATCTTTTCTACCCTTCTTCTTGTATATAGGTGACACCCAAGACTCTTTCCATTCTGTCGGTACCTTTCCACCGTCCAAGCAATCTTGCATCAGGTATCTCAACCGTTGAAACAGCTTGCAGGTTCCACACTTGATCAACTCAGCAGGGATATTTCCCGGACCTGGAGCTTTATCGTTCTTCAGCTCTCGTACGGCCTTTACCACGTCCTCCATATGGATCTCCAAGTTATGATTATCGTTAGTATACTCCAAGCTTACGCCTCCATCTTGAAATTCAGGTCGCCTTTCTGTCAGTAAATTTTTAAAATACCCCTCCAGTTTATCAATGGATATCGGAGATATTAAGTCACGCTTCATGTCCCTTCGCAGCCCTTTCAGCAACTTCCAGCTCTCAGTGCTTTTCCTTCCTCCTATGTACGTGTCTATTTTGTTACAGCTCCTCTCCCAAGATTCGTTCTTTTTCTTGGTTATGAGCCTTCGTACCTGCGTCTGAGCTTTTTTATACGCCTCTTTGTCTTCTGTTTTTTTAGAGGAAAGGAACTGATGATATTTTTTCCGTTTCTCCTGAATCTCCTTCTCAATTTCTTCGTCCCACCAGTAAGGTTTTTCGCTAACTTTCCTATCATCAGCGACACCAAGAGCTTCCATTGCTGCCGAGTGAATGCAATCCTTCAGGAACTGATACTGCTGTTCGGTATCACCGTCCCTTGATTCGCCCAACTTCTCATCCAAGCGCTTTCCATATAAAGCCCTTACACTTGGATGCTGCAAGCTGTCAATGTTATAGTTTACAAGCTTGACACGATCTTTTTGTTGGTGAACTTCTTCCTGTGCTTGCCTGGTCTCCTGGCTCCCTTTCACTGGGAAAGCTATTTTTGCCCCGAGGAAATAATGATCACTGCCGCAGGAAAGACCTCTCCACACTCTAACTTGCTGAATCTTCATTCCCGTGTCTTGTCTGACAACCACATAATCAATGATTGATTTCAATCCGCGAGTAGACTGAACCCAAGTAAATTTATGGATATCCTTGTGTTGGTAGAACCCATTGAGCACCTTCATGTCCCTTTGCTCACATACGTCAATGATACGGGCTCCGTTATCATTTAGTGCCGCCTCTCCGAAAGGGCCGACGATCTTACTTTTAATTTGACGTCCTATTCTACCATTGAGATCTCCCAACACAATGATTTCCCTCCTGGATCCAATCTTACCAATTTCCTCGTTCAATTCTTCGAAAAATTGGTCCTTCACTGCGACAGTGGAATCATCGTTGACTCCATACACTCCCAAAATGGTGATTTTATGGCCAAACACTGTCATATTCATCTTTATCATTCGGGGGTTAACAGCTTCCCATGTAGTGATGCACTTCCGTAGGCTCTTGCGAATAAGAATTGCAACACCCTGTTGAGCTCGCTGATCTTTTTCCACGCCACTATAAAACAAATCGTATTCCTTTACACTTACAGAGCCTTGTCCTTTCTTCTTCGTTTCTGTTAATACCGTGACATCAAATCCGTGACTCCCTATCTCCGATACCACTTCCGTCATTTTCGTAGAAATTCCTTGTACGTTCCATGTTCCAAAAACCATCATCCGTTTACGTAATTTTTTCCGATAAATCCGTTTATTTCCATTTGTACCGAGGCAATTGTTATTGGGTCTTTTAACAGTATTCCTTTTTCCGAGTATCGGGGAGTTAGCCCGATGACTCAACCCCCAACCTGGAGGACCGGGGTTTGATTTCGGAGTTTCCTCTCCTAGACAGGTTGCTTCCACTACAGCTGAGAGCCCTGTCTGCCCTTCCAATGGGTGGTTCATACGCCTTGAAGCCGGTGACCATCTCCACTACCCCATGAGGCAGGGGTTACCAGCTGGGGTCCGCAGGATTGCTAAACCTGTGACATCAGTCCCCCATACGGGCCCTTGTATATTTATCCGTAAGTTAATTTAATGAGTCCATTTTTATCTTGCTCTCTAGAAATCCCTGATAGCCCGCCACTCAATATATTTCATAGTTTTCTGATAAAAAATCTGTCTTTATAGGTTTATTTAGAGTCCCTTTATACCGAGAGTCAAGACAACACCCCCTCATGGAGTCACAAACGGGAAAAAAGACTACAGAAATTGAACTTTTTTGTAATCTCTGTTCGGCCCATTCTCAAATTCCTTTCTCCGTTCCTTCTCTCATTCCGTTTGTTCCTTGCCGAACCCGTAATTCCTGTGTCCATTCCAGATTATAATCTTTGCAATCGGTGAAAATGTAATCTTTATTCCCGTTTGTGACACTGTGAAGGCCTAAAATACGGGAACCAATCAGAAATGGATTCACATTGTCTTGACTCTCAGCATAAAGGGACTCTAGGTTTATTGAGGGTGATATTCTGGCAGTTCGAAGTTTTTGCATTATCGTACATTTATCTATTCTCAGGATTCTCTATTCTCTAATTCTTCAGACATGCAAAAATTATTCTTAGTTTTCGTTGTTCTAGTTTGGCATTTTGCACTATTTGAGTGCATACGTTTCTTATGTGCACATTATTTTTGCATAGGTAAGAATCGATTTTGAAGTATTTTCTGCGAGTCGTATCTGTTAAAGTTTGACTAGAGCAAGTATAAAAGGTATCTAAACTTTTAACATTTACGAGAGAGGCAACTTGTTTATTAGGTTTTATAAGTTGAATGTATAATAACTGTACGTGAGGAAATACCATTAAAAATGGTACTATATTCTGAGATTCGTTCATATTTGTGTATAGGGCAGAGCAGAATGAGCCCCAAATCCAATTGAAAAAATTAATTCGTAAAACACAATGTATTTACCTTTATTTGCATACATCTCTGAAGAAAAACTCGCCAAATTGAAAAACAATTCTAATTCGCATTTTTTTTGGGAGGGGGGGAGGGGGCGCTACTGTGATTAAATTGTGTTGAATGATCTCTGTAAATATGTGAGGTGCCTCCTTCAAAAATGTAATCTGACTTACTTTGAGACTGTGCAGGTGGAGGGCTGAGCGACATGGGTTGAGAATTAAGCTCCATAGTCTCCTTGGGCGATTTCTGGACTTCCTGGGCTAGATAACGCCATACATTTTTTCGAGCAAATTCTGCTACCAGCTACATCAACATGTAAACACAATAACAGAAATAAATGAAACTTGAAACTTGAATGTTGAAACTTGCACTAGGAGAAAAACATTCGTGTGCGGACCTTGAAATTGCAGTCACATGGATCTCTGAAGTTTTCTGATCACACTCATCTGAAAAATTTAGGCCCAGCTGCCGAATTTCGGGTCGAATATCTGAAGCACTTCGGTATGTGTCGAAGGATTCGGGTCACGCATCTGAAGTACTTCAATATATGAAGAAGTCCAAAGTGCTTAACATGTTTGACCCAAACTTCGACTGTTGGACCTCAAATTTTCAGATGGGCGATCCAAAAACTTTAGGGATCCATATATGACTCCGACTTCGGATCCCTAGCACGAAGTTTTTTTCTTCGTGTTAAGTAAATTAAGCTGGAACTTTTGACGTAATTAGCAAGTTTCTAAAAAGAAACAAGCACCTCGATAATGGGCTGATTACTGAAATTTGATAGACAACGTGATAGACAAAGAGGACATCGGGAGTATGGATGCATCCTGGGTTGAAATGGGTGGTACATATAGAAGGAAGAAAATTATGAACTAAAAGAGTCCCCTGCCCAGTGAGTTATCTATTACCAACCTCTTTTGTCCATTGCAATCGCCCGCTTCCACCAATTGGAACCCTCCACATCCTTCTTTGTCTATAGCTTTATGTATCAAATTCAATAATTGGCCCTCAGAACAAGGTCCGAAAGACAGGAAAAGATCACAAATTTTCGCTTTAAAATTTTACGCAGAAAACGAGTCACAAAATCGAAAGATCTGAAAGCACGTCTCGAACGAGACATAACACATGTCCACACAGATGAAATAGAAGTTAGATTATAACTTATGTGACCAGATCTGTGAAAAGGGACCTTGTCTTCCTTGATAAAATTTTCGCTGCTGTTTGCGAACTCTTGCACCTCGTTTTCCTACAACCAGAGATTTAGTGTCTGAATCTGAGGTTTTATGACAGACGTCTCCTCCAATTATTTTCGAAAATTCAGGATCAAACTTCCGAGAAAATGTCTAGATTTTCTTCTTGTTTGCATTAGCAAAGAGTTCAGGAAAATTGTCTTCCCGAAGACTGAGTCCTTTCACCGCATTCAAACATGCATTTTCTCCATTTATTATTTAATAACTCAAAACATTCATAGTATTAGGTCCAAAGGTTGATGTCTAGCCTTCCGGATGTGTGGCTAATTTTCCTCGTGAAATTTTTAAAACTCAGAATTTTCCCCCAACCGATCTGTTTCCCAATAGAGAGTGATGGTTACAAACAATTACAAATCCGCCCAATCAATGAACAAAACAATCACCAATCGAAAATTAATCAATGAACACCTACATTTCCGCCATGCCCGTCAAAAACTGCAAAGTATGCTGCTTTGATTTTTTCCATAGTTTCTTGAATGGTAAACGTATCCTCCATTGATTCCCTTGATCCTTGGACAGCGAAATGTGCAGAGTATTTTCCTTTTTCCTGCCACGTATTGGGTTGCATATCAGAATGCAAAATGTGATTATTGTAGATCGGTTCCAATTTTTCTAGAGGCGTTTTTCTCGAAACGTAAAATGCCTTTGGTTCGCTCCAATATTTCTCAGCTTATGAACAAAACAGAAAAACAAAAACATTAAAAAAAAAAAAAAAAAAAAAAAAAAAAAAAAAAAAAAAAAAAAAAAAAAAAAAAAAAAAAAAAAAAAAAAAAAAAATACGGCTTATTTGAAGTTAAAGCTGTTTTTATCGGGATGCATTGTAGCTGATCAGCGATCGCGGTGGGTGCACCCTCCGAATGCTTTAATAAGTTTAAATATTAGTGTGTATCATGTGACTTAATGAGTTTTAATATTGGTGTTTACCATGTGACCTTATGATGATATCGTCCAGATCGAAATAGTTATCTTCAAAATCAGTGGCGTGGCGTGAATTCCGATGTATCGATTGTTATGCCATTTAAACCTATGGAAAAGGATCGATAAACAGGGTGTTCGCAGCGAACACCTTAATAATCGATTCTTTTCCATGTGTTTAAATGGCATAACAATCGATACATCGCAATTCACGCCACGCTACTGTCAAAATCTAAAATCTAAAATCAACGTGATCGGAGGAAAAACGAAGGTAAATTTATCAGCGACAGTTGGTTTCTTCTTTTAGGCTATGCAGGTTGTGCACTGTAAATCATAGGCGGTTCTACGTGGGTTCACGTGAACCCACAAGCGGCATTTAGGTGACACCGAAAAGTGCAAAATTGTCAAAATCTGAATTTAATTGAATTAAATTTACTGTCAACCAATTATTGTTCTACTTTTTGTGAGAATTTTCTATGTCACACGTGCAATTTTCGATTAATCTCTTAAATTTTCATTTTCTAAAAATCGAAATAATTTGGGGGAAAACAGAAAAATCCGATATAAACAGTGAAATTAGTCTCCTAAATATTACGATGTTCGATTTAACAATATGTCAAAATGGCGTCCGTGGGAGATTCAATTTTCAAAAGTTGCCAAGAGACGTCCCCCAGAACCCCCTCTCACGCGCTAACAAAATGGTTTTAAATCGCTCGGCACCCACAAGCACAGAGGTATAGAACCACTTATGCTATGAATTTTGCAATATAAATTATCATTATTCTTATTCATTATCAATGTATGTCATTGCTGGTAGCGGAGGAGGGAGTGAGCTTTTCCGCAACAGTAGAAAGGGGAAAAGAGTATTTATCCAACAGAGGAAGTGAAACTTTGATAGCCTACCGCATGATAACGTTAAGAGCTTTTACGAGAAACTATATAAGGGTGATTTCACGATAATAGGAATAGTCGTGTCGCCGTGGGTTATGAACGACATAGGGCAAAACGATTGAAAACCAAATTAATTAATCAATAGGAATGATGTCCCTGAACCTATCCATGCTAAAAAATATGATGAATTATTATTATATTTAATAATATGAGACTTTAAAGGCCGAAAATGTCCGGTCGGTTACGCGTCGCCAACCCCGATTTTGAAGCAAAAGAGCAATTTGCGGTAACATATCAGTACTGATCATGAACTCTTTGGCAATATTTGCTGAAAAGAGACTCTAGTGTTCAAGAAAATTGCCAGTTTGAACTGAAATGTTTATTATTGAGCGAGAAAAGTCATAAGAAAGAGGTGTCGCCACATTTGGCAACAAATTTTTGCAGTTGTATTAAGTGCAGTGTTTATCTCGCCAGATGGAGTCAGGAGTTTCAAAACTGCCATCAAATTGTTCGCTGAAGTCTTCTTGACAAAACCATTACTGATAAGTCAGTTTTTTTTACAATGAAAACTTAAATTATTATGAAAACCAGTGATTTTTACGTGTGTAGCACTAATTCCTCACTACGCAAAAACCTCAATTTAATAGTATTAAACTAAAACGAAGTCTCCAAAGTTTAGAAAACTTTTAAGGCAGCATTAATTCCACCTCATAACTCAAGAATTGCCAAGTTTCATCTTTTGTATCATCTTTAATCTCACATTTTTGAGTGTCGGTTACGCTGTGTCTGTTACGTAACCGACACAATTTGGCAGGGCCGCCATGTTTGCGTGGACCTCCAGCAGTCCCGCGGAAAGCGCTGATACCTGATTCAATGGCTTGTTTATCAATCACTTTAACTTTGCACTGAATCAAAATAGAGCGTGCCAAAGCTGAAAAAAGGAAGTTTAATACCTTTAGAATGAGGTAATGAAATCCTGTTAAAATTGGTGCACTTTTATTTCTCAGGTATTTCACATTTTAACTATTCCTGTTATCGTGAAATCACCCATAACGATAACTTTACCGATATATATAGATTTTTCATCATTACTGGAGGACATTAATGTTTCTCACATAGTACTACAGACTCAAAAACCGGCCCTGGGTTTTCTCGAGTTTAAAACTTTTCAACTCCTCCTGGAAGAGGAATGTTCTGGCTAAAACTTGTGACTCCTCAATTATAACAGAACTTTCTCTAAATTTCGTAGTATCTAAGGACTCACGTTGGCCTAGGTACGGTGTCTAATGGCATAGACCAAAAAACCAAAACACACCAGTAACGATCTATACCTACGCAAAAGAATGTCGCTGAAGATTCACCTTTAAGTTTACCTACAACTCCGGGAAGCCAGAAATTCCTCCGCGCAGAAGGCGCCACAACTGTGTTTTGATTTTAAGGCTCACGTCATAAGAGTTCGTGCAGCTTAACGTGAGTCCTTGAGCTCATATAAAAATTAAAGGAATATCTGTAAAAATCGAATAGTCATACGTTCTAGCTATGACATTCTTCTTCCTTTTGGCAATAAAAAAATATCGTAAGTAATTACAGGAAGTCTGTAACTTGATCCCAGAAAAAAAGAAGGTTCAACAAAATGAGCTTGATGCAACCGATCACAAGTGACCTCTCTCATCAGTTGCAGATATATCTCACTCTCACCGTGAACTATCTCTCTTGCACTTTTGGCAGCCTATGAGGGAAACTGGGATCAAGTTTCAGCCTTTGTAATTGAACTTAAAAAGCTCGTGCTTGGTTTAAACTTTCCAGACCATATGCTGCTAGAACTTATGAGTCTCAGAATTCAATATGTCTGTCGTAATTTTTAAACAATCATGGACATCAGAGCCAGATTTTAGAAGCTCGACGTGGTGGATTTTTTCGGAACTGCTGTTGAAGATTCACTTTAATAACTTGCATAGCTTAAAATTAACTCTTATTGATATGGTGCAAGATAAGTGAAACGAAGGTATGCTCTTGCCGGCCTCTCTGGCCCAAACACCGTTTTTTTCTATCACTAGAGCCGTGTTGCAAGATTTGAATTCCAACAACTATGAAGTCGTGGCCGAGAATAAAGTGCGATCGACCGTCTGCTGCTGATAAAAATGAACACATTTAGTGCGAGAAAATTCGTAAAGAATAAAAATTAATGTTATGTCAGTGAGGTGGCTTTCTATTCATTTTCATCAATAGCATGGTCATTGCTTCCGGCTAAACTGCAAAGATTTTGACATTCAAATTTCGCGCCACGGCTCTACACTGTTGAAAATTCCGGCGCGAAATTCACGCTTACTCAGTTGCTATTTTGACCACCTGTTACTCTGAGTGCATGGATCCGGCGCGAATTTTGCACTCTGGCGGGAGTGAAAATCTGACAGGCCAACGTAAAACGGAACTGCCGCAGCATGGATTCGATCCCGAGTCGCGGCGGTGATAGACGAGACTTCGCCATTCGGCGCTCGTATCAGGTAACCCTGCATTCACGCTACTTGAGGTACCTCAACTAATTCGTCCGTCGTTGGTGATATTTATACGCTCTGATCTATTCACTCAGCGTGCGCAGAAGTTCGTGCTGGATTTTTTTTTTCACGCCGGCTATTCACTCAGAGTAAATCATTGATTTTTAACAGAGTGCGTTTCGGTGAAAGGTGTCGGTAAGAGCAAAACGACTGTGAGACTTCCATACTACGTACCTTGTTTGCGGTGTTTAAAAATATCCGCTCACATTTTGTTTTTGTTTTTTTTTTTTCAAAGAGAACGAATGAATATCATTCTTAGAAGTTTACATAGAAGTTTCTTCTAGAGTCCCCTTATAGAGAGAGTTAAGACAACGCGGCTCATGGATGTCACAAACGGGAATAAAGATTACACAAATCGGACGTTTTTTCGTAATCTTTGATCAACCCATTTCCGAATTCCTATATCCGTTCCCTCTCTCATTCCAATTGTCCCTTGCCGTACCCCCGATTTCCCGGTCCATTCCAGTTTATAATCTTTGCAATTGGTGCACATGTAATCATTATTCCCGTTTGTGACACTGTGAAGGCCAAAAATACGGGAACCAACCAGAAATGGATTCGCATTGTCTTTACTCTCGGTATAAAAGGACTCAATTTTCTTCATTATCAGAGGAAAAAACTCGAGTTTTTCAAACATTGACTTTGAGTATATATAGTTTCCCATTTCAAAAATAAAATTTGCCAGGACAGCCTCAACGTAACGAACCGGCAAACGTAGTCTGGTGGTTTGACCGTCGAAGAGCATACCTGCGTTTCACTTACCTCGGACAAAGTAAGTATCTAACCTACGGCACATTTTTTGAGCTCTCCTTTCCAATAAAAAGGTACCGGATTCGCACAGGAGGTCCATAGCTTGACAGTGTTCGTGCACCGATATTTCCTGTCCATAATACCATAACTCGTATACCTCGGCGTACACTCGACGCCAAACGACGGTGAACAATGAGGGTTCTTAAGATATTCTGCTTGATCCTTCCAAATCTCGTAGTGAACTAGCATGCAGTAATAGTTCGCATCCTGAGCATCTTCTTGGTTTGCATTAGAAGGCAGGGAATGGCAAGGATTCACTTCGATGTCACTCTCTGACAGCGTTCCCTGATGATCATAACCATTAAAAAGCTTGAATTTAAAATATTTTATTTCGATGGCCAAAGTGAGAAACCGCGTGCGTCCGTGTGTGACGTCGCAGCCTTCCTTTCATGCACAGTGAAAAAAAAATCTCGGTGTATTTACTAAGGAAAGGGTAAAATTACCAAGAATTCAGGGTTCTATTTGATTCCAGTTTGTTCTTGTTCCAATACCATTTATGGAATTGGTAATTTTACCGAGAAATCTCGGTAAAATTATTGAACTTTCGCGATAATTTTACTGGACCTTCGTAAAAACACCAATATTTTTTATCGACTGTGGTAGAATTACCGAGATCAAATGGCAAAATTACCAGGAATTGATTACCAATAAAAGTGGTATTCTTACCTGAAAAAACAGTAAAAATACCGGTTTTTAGGTAAGGTTACCAGTCTGTCGTGGTAAAATGACCAATAAATGGTAAAAAATAGTGAGATGGTAAAGGTACCAACGGGCCTTGGTAAAAACGCCGAGAATTTTTTTGTTTTTCAGTGCATTCTCATTGGAAAACTAGTCAACGTAAGTGCTTGAAACTCATACTTAGATCCAAGATAGGGAGGGGGGGACATGCACCCCTCTCGCCTCCCTGTTCGCTCTAAAAAAGGAGGAAGAAAACGGAAAGAGACGGAACTGCAGACAGAAGGAAGAACATTTAGATTGGATTATTATTCATGACCACTTTGACTTAAACTGCATATTAAATGGTTTAAAAATTTGAAAATTTTCCAAGGGGGTGTCACTTAGTTCCCCTCTTTCCTCCCCATGCCCCCTTTCAAAGTGTCTGGATCTCACGGAAAAAAACGAGTTTAGGGCTGGTACCTACGCGGAAGGTCCTAGCCCTAACCGGGTAACCTGCCCCTGTGGGGTTTGAGGTGAAGCAATTCTAGGGCTCAGCCCTAATATCATTTTTTCCATGCTGCCTATGTTCATAGCTTTCTCGATTGTTTTTCTCTGCCGGAATATTCTGAAAAAAATTCAAACTGTAATTTGCATTGTTTCTCTTCGAAAAAATAAAATAGGGATACGGAGAGGGTGAAAAGTTACGATACAAATACGTGGTCTCACACTTCGGCCATCGATTTTTGGAAAACTAGACTCTCGGTTTCCATCGGTCTAAGTTTCAACGGTGATATAATAACAGTCATCCATCCAAAAATGTAACCGAAATCAGTCGTGAAAATTTGTCTGGTGCTTAATTTTTGACAAAATGTTCAGCGATCAAGATCCTATACAACTCCATGGTGATGAGCTGGTCACTTTTCTCTCAAAAATGTATTAGGTCGTAGTGATCTCAGAATACAGTGTAGCAAAAAGTACTGAGATCCGTCGAAACGAAAGGTTTCTACGTGCAGGAATGACGGAAATATGCCGTTATTTGAAAAAATATTTCGATTGACGTCAGCCATGGTGATAGTGTACGTACATATCGTCGCCTCTCTGACGTAAGGGCGTTTCTCAATTCCCACGCGAGCCCCTTTTTACATCTAAATCCCTACTTTCCGGGGCTCATGCGGGGATCGAAATACGCCCTTACGTCAGAGGAGAAACGATATATCGACGGTGTAAGTCGGACGGTGAAAATCTCCGCCTCTGTGTTATTTTTTTAAAGGAAAACAAGTTGATATCATTCCTTGAAATTTTTGCAGAATTTTCCTCGCACAGAGAAGAAAAATCACGGCAATTTTAATGAATTGCCATTGTGTAGTTTGCCGTTTAAAAAATATAGTTTGACAGGAAGTCTGCGACGTCGCAAACCCAGTTATGTGATTGCCGACTTACACCGTCGATATGCCACGGTTTCTTCCATCATATACATATATTATCTATACTATAAGCTCTCAAGCCTCCTAATTTTGCGAAACTGGTAACGCTTAGTTCCAGCGTTCTACCGGGCCGATTTTTATGATTTTTGCGGCTATCGACGGGCAATTGTCTCTAGACAAGCCAACTCTTTTCAGATTTTCAAAATATGGCCTAGGTTTTTTTATATAAAGTGGTAAAATTGCGAATTCTCCCATTTAAACAATGTAAATTTATATTTTTTGTCATAGTTCGTTTGAGCGTTCTACCGGGTCGATTTCTAAGTTTTTTGCGGTAATCGACGGGTAATTGGCCCTAGATGAGCCCGCTTTATTCAGATTTTGGAAATAGGACCCAGGTTTTTTTACAATCACGTTATAAAAGTGAGTGAATTTTCAGAATGGTCCGAGACTGCTACCGCTATGCGCGGGAGGATGCGCAGTGGTCGAGGAGGTTGCGCAGTAGCTGTGTAGCCTGCGCATCAGCTCTACACTTATCTACACAAGATTCGCCCCATTTGACTCAGGTAGAGCGGTGGCCGAGTCGTCAAAGACGTCGGAAGCGTCCACTTAAACATGGTGTGGGTTCGATCCCCGGCTCCCGAAACTCTTAATTGTTTCCTGATTATCAATGTTCGTTGTTTTACTGCAATATTTCATCAAGTAGTCATTCCAAAACGCGTCCTTTAGACTTCAAGAAAATAATTTTGTTTCTTTATTCATCAAAACCAAAAATTATTTCATTCTAAAAGTGAAGTATACCTTATATCGTAATTTTTTAGGGGAAAAATAAAACTAACACCGATAGGAGGGTAAAAATAGGGCCGCGAAGCGGCCCATTGATGGCGCGGAGCGCCTTCAGGGGGTTGGGCCGCGTAGCGGCCAGGGGGCGTATACATATATAAGCTTCAAGACCTCCTAAATTTGCATATCTGGTAACGCTTAGTTTCAGCGTTCTACCGGGCCAATTGTCTTGATTTTTGCGACTATCGAATAGCAATTGTCTTTAGATGAGCCCGCTCTAGTCAGATTTTGAAAATATGACCCAGGTTTTTTTACATTACGTGGTAAAGTTGCGAATTCTTCCATTTAAACAATGTAAATTTTTATTTTTTGTCATAGTTCAATTGAGCGTTCTGCCGAGCCGATTTCCATGATTTTTGCGGTTATCGACAGGTGATAGTCCGCAAATGGGCCCGCTGTATTTAGATTTTGGGAATATGACCCAGATTTTTTTATAATAGAGTATACTAGGGAACTTATAAGGGGGTGAAATTTGAACTTGGTCTGTTAGTAAGGTAAGGTAATAGTGAATGGAAGGTATGTTCCTTTACTACAGACCGTCCAAAAGGGACAAAACGCTCAGATCCCTTCGTTCCATTTCGTTTCAGTCTTGGCCTGAAGTTTGAAATAAATGGCGGTTTTCTAATTTGATTCTCATTGGTCCAATCGTTCCCGACCAAAGGGAGATTGGACTAATGAGAGTCGGGTATTAAAATCTTTTCATTTTTTTTGTGGGCCGTTCTTTTTCGAAGCGGGCCTAAGAGAGGGCGAAGCGCCCTCCGGGGGTTGGGCCGCGTAGCGGCTAGGGGGCACAGCCCCCTAATAAACGGTCTATATCCATCACTGATGCACGCACAATTTTTTACCTCAATGAGCCTCTAGACAGGGTAAGAACTGGAGGCTCTAAGCACATGAATCTGCATCAGAATTTCGCGTAGAATTCAATGGTACAAACGGGAATTCATGAAACCAACTAATAAGCGAGATATTTGCGTAAATAGACTGCGCATTTTTGTAAATCCCGCTCGCCTAATATACGAATGACGTCACATTTGTAGCCAATAGGATTGTCGCAGCGCTGCGCAGCGCCGANTTTTCGATGGCCGATGCTCAGTCGGCGCTGCGCAGCGCTGCGACAATCCTATTGGCTACAAATGTGACGTCATTCGTATATTAGGCGAGCGGGATTTACAAAAATGCGCAGTCTATTTACGCAAATATCTCGCTTATTAGTTGGTTTCATGAATTCCCGTTTGTACCATTGAATTCTACGCGAAATTCTGATGCAGATTCATGTGCTTAGAGCCTCCAGTTCTTACCCTGTCTAGAGGCTCATTGAACGATACTGCCGTGCTAAGGAAGAACGCCGTATGAGCCTCCAAACGTTGCAGAATTTTCTTCGATAAAAACCTAATTTACTAGGAAAATTTTAAGTAGTTGTCCTCCAATTTACAGACAATTTTGTACGCAATTTAAGCTAAATCATTTGAAAATTTCAAGGGAAATATGCTTGAATTGCGTCAAAAATACACGTTTCATCGAGGGCAATTTGGCAACTCTCGAATGTTCATACGGCGTTCTTCCTTAGCACTATAGCACGACAGAATAGCAGTTTACGCTTTGTTTACATCGTGAAGAGGGTGGTTTCCTATGATTAGAATTTTATTTGGACCTATTCGTAGTTGTGAATTACCAATTATATTCCGTTCTAATAATGTAAAAAAAGGAATTGAAAGGATTACTATAAGTATTAAAAACAAGAAATCAATCAATCTGAAAATTCCTAAATGTAGAATAAATAAACTACTTATTTGAATTCTAAACTTAAAAAATTGTATATGTTAACAAGTCTCAGTATTTTAATAAAAAAAATCACTTTTCTAGATCGTTTCGCCCTGTAATGTAGGTTATATAATCAAAGGTATCGACAATACGGCGTCAACGTCCTCCAGAATCTAACAAGCTCTGGACAACGATCCGACACGTTCGTACTTCTGACTTAATTTAACACAATATCGACGGTGAACTCCCAAACCACGTATCTTGGTTTGCAACGTTGCAAACTTCCTGTCCTACTGTATTTTTTAAAAAAGAAACTATTCAGTGTCAATTCTTCAAACAATTTATGATTTTTCTCCTCTGTGCGAGAATTTTTTTGTGAAAACTTCAAGGGCTGACGTTGTTTTGTTCTCTTTTAAAAAAATAAAATGGGAACGGAGGATTTTAAATATCGCAAAGGAGATGCGTGGTTTAGGGGTTTTACCATTGATATATACAATTTCAAACGTAACTCATAGTATGACTCTTTTTTCCATAACCTGAGCTGGTCAAAAATGCAAGCGCGGGGTCATCCGCTCAGAAAACCGAAGGAGAATTTTTTTATCTCCTTCAATTTTGGAGATTTTAGGGTCAAACTTGCGCCAAAATTTCCAAGTCTTCCTCCTCTATGTATTTGCGAAAAGTTAAAGAAAATTTTCGCTCGAAAGATAAGACCTCTTTTCGCAGATCTAGTCAAAAATGCATTCGCGGTCATTCGCTGAGAAAAACGAGGGAGACACAACGTAAACTTATATTTTCTTCTCTATTTCACACAACTCATACCGGTGAATTCAAATTAAGTTGTTCTCTTAATTACTTACCATTTTTAACCACGAAAACACAATCAAAAATAGCCAACTCGCGGGTACGGTGAACATCGAGACTAAAATGCACTACTCGAAAACATCACCGACACAGAATATCACTTGTGGCTTGCGAATGTAGCCATGCTTGTAGAAGCGGAAGAATATACACTGCTTCAACTTGCAATGTAACGCACTAGAGCCAATTTTTTGCGTTTCCGATGACGTCAAAGCTCCCCCCATACGGCCTCGTTTTGACACATTTTTGCCTCTACTCAGCTCCGACGCATAAAAGTGACTAAATTTGCGACAGTACTGATTTAGAGAAAAAACGGGACGTCCAATGGGTCTATCGTGAAAATTTCCTAGAACGTTAGGGAAAGTTCTCCCGCCAGGAAAATGGCTTGAAAATTAGGAAGAGTGCTTGAGGTAATCTTTGGATAGACTTCTAATTTCTCTATCTCCGTCACATTTGTGCGTATTTTTAGCCTCTCGCTTCAAAGTGTATGACATGTTCCAAGGAAGCCGTCCATAAATTACGTCACCCATGTTTTCGATTTTCCGACTTTTCCTCCTCACCGTATCCTGCCGCCATCCACTGCTAGATCCCCCCTAAAAATTACGCCATCCTTAGCGTGCCCTTCCCGCTTTTTGGGGGAAAACGCAGAAAATCCATAAAAATCAGTAAATATAGTCTGCAGCGTTAAGAATATGATTAATTTCCTACATTGAGTATTGAATATGTTATGTTTTTTTTTTTTTAAAATAGAAAAGAATTAAGGCCACGATATATTACTGGCTGAAAAATTAAGGTGGTTAGGTTAGTAACATCCTAGGATGTTACTTTAACAGCAAGAGTGGTAATGACAACATCTAAGAGTTGTCGCACATTTTTTTTACATCCAGGATGTTACTTCAGCACCTCTTTTTTACGGTGCATTGAAAATATACATTTTAGATGAGGCAAACTGACTTTCCAAGAATCTAAACACAAGTTGCAAACTGCAAATAGTTGCCTTTTGGTTCCGGTGATGCTTTCATGCACGTTATAGTTAGATTCTTTATAAAATGTTCAACTATTTGAAAATCACATTCAAAAGAAGAAGGAAAAGTAGAAAAGGGGACATCGCCTGTCAAATTTGATAAACTTCAGAGTAACTTTCCAGCCGACGACAACTTGTTATGTGGCAAAAAATGTGGTTTTTTTATGTTAGAGAGTAAGTGGTTTTCTTTTTTACTCTATTGTCTAGAGATTCATGCCTGCCAGCGCTCACGTAAAAACGGATGTGTATCCCTACGTCAGAGGATGAACAAAACGAGGCTCATAGGTAATGGAAAATTCTTCCCAGCGCTGGACGAGTTTGTGATCATCGCTGACGGAAAAGTAGCAAAAATATCCACTCGATTTAAATGGTTTCAGCGTCACCTTTTGGAAGGAATTTTAGTGAAGCTGTTCACTGACATTAAGGCCGTATATACGCGTATAGGTGGTTACCCCCCCCCCCTCCCCAAATCGGTCCGTTCCAATAATTGAATCCTCTGGTATTGCTGGTAGTGATGGCAAGTCGATTCCATGATTACTCGGCTAAAGAATCCACATTTTTCAGTGGAGTGAAGTCAGACCGACTGGCAGGTGGATGGATTAACCACGCTACCGGTGCTTTTCAGCCTATTTACGCCACTTCCTGTGACAGTTAAGAAGTATGTGTGTGAAGTATTAATTCGTTTTTTCAATCAATTTAGCAGCCATATAATCTTGAGACTTTCTGTTGGATGGAATTGCCACCTATAAATGCGAACCCATGCGCATATAGGTGTTTTCTGCCAATCAACGCAATCAAATGCTTCATCAACGTCACAGAGCCGTCATCTTCTGTTACATGACATTCCATGCCATTTACAAAGCATCGATTTGTGTTTTCAGTCAATTTAATAGCCATTTCATCTTGAGACTTGGGTGGAATGACCACCTATAAACGTGTGCCCATGCACACATTGGTGCTTTTCTGTCCACCAACGCAATCACGCGCCACATCAACGTCACAGAACCGTCATTTTCCATTACATGGCATTTTATGACTGTCGCAAAGCGTCGATTAAAGTTTTCAAAGAATTGATTAGTTATTTTACCTTGAGACTAGGTGGTGAGTGAAATAACCAACGTTAACAACATGTTTTAAATCAATATTTAGGTTAAAACTGAAATTTGTTCCAAAAATGCACAGCGAACCGTTCAAAGGATATAAGCCAATTCCAATAATGGAAAGCATGCACATTTTTATTCTCTCATCTGAAAGTGCTTAAAGAGCTGATTTCATAGTATTTTTTATAATTTTTTTCTGATATGGGAAGTAATATAAAAATAGATTTAAGTGAGGTTCAAGTGAGAAAAAGCACCGCCTATTGACGTCGTCTGGCGGCATTTCCCATTAACACAAGTATTTTAGCAGATTGGATAATTTTGTCATATCTTCTCCAATAATTGTTCAATTCATGAACCAAAGGTATCCTCGAGTTCATTCACTCAGTAGTTTCCACCTAAACACGAAATTCATCAAATTTCAGACACGTGCAAATTCTCTATTACAAAAAAATAATTTTGCAGCTTTCCTACGTCGCGAACTAAGCGACGCATCTAATGATCGAAACTTCAAATGTGATTTTCTCACAACTATGTCTTCCACTATGGTCATTAGTACCATGGTCTAAATTCGCCCCGCCTCCCTTTCAGTCGCAGGGCGTGAAAGATCGATAATCGATATTTCTCCATCTGAAGCTATAGTGAAGAATCGATTATTAAGGTGTTCGTTGCGGACACCCTGTTTATCGATCCTTTTCCGTAGGTTTAAATGGCAGATCAATCGATTGATCGCAAAGCTCGCCACTCCACTGCTCCCTCTTCTCGTTTTAGCCGCAGCACTTTTTGCAAGTTGGGATAACAGGTTTCCCTCCTTTTAAATATACGTAAGTGCAAAAAATTGATCTTTAATAGCGTATCAATCTGTTCTGCTACCATAATTCGGCCTAAATATGCATTAAACATTTTTTCTGCGATGTTTGTTCAAAAAAATTCCTGATATTACGTTTTTTTTTCTTACTGAAAATATGCACGCCATTTGTTAAATGTTATCAGCCAAGCGAGATACCTGGTGCTCATTTTGTTCCGTTTCCAAGGCTGGCGGTATAGTTGCATCAGGTGCTGCGTTCTTGTTTCAAAACTCAAGTCTGTCACAAATAGCTCCAAATTTTAGACAGAGAAAACTGTGTGAAAAAAAAATTCAAAAAAATTGTAAACTTGTACATTTTCAAATCCCAGAGACTATTTGGGAAGAGAAAATCGACCTTCCAAGAAAAATGATGAGCTGAATTTTACACCTTTTTTCACCTTAAAATGTCCTCTCCTAGAGATTTTCGCCCGTAAAACGATGGAACTCTTAGAAAGCCGATAGGGAGGATGATTAAACTTGTCAAATCCAAGAATAGACTGTGAATACTTTACATGCGTTTAAAAAGGGAAATTTGCTAATATTTCAGCACAATGTGGCAACTGTGAACATAATTGCCTTGACTGCAGCCTTAAAAATTGATTTTAAAACCTCGATATTGACTGAATAGAGGTAAATCAAAACTCCAAAGTCAACATATTGATTAAGTTCATAAGACCTTAGCGATACCGAGATCATTTTCAGCAACCGTTTGTTCAATTACCGCTATTTCTGACAGCTTCCACTAGTTCTGTTTCAGTACCCCATGGTGCTGTTGAATCATTCAGGGCCATATTTTTATGAAGTTTTACACTCGATGCGATACTATTTTAGTTGTTCCGAGAGAGAAAGGAGGGAAAGGAGCGCCTGAGAGACTTTCCAGCAGCTGAAGGAAGCTCCAAAGTGAGAGAACCCTGTCCTAAAGCGAGCACAGCCCTGTTCAATCAAGGCTATGATGAGAGAAATGTAATTTTTTTCAAATTGATACCTATTCGCTCTCTTCGGTATATTCATGGCCTATCCGACGAAATTGAAGGCGAAAATTGAGCGGATCATATCCGCCGAACGGCTCAAAACTTGTGAATGGTTCAGTGGAGTCATGTGCAGTGATCGAAATGCGATGTTCATAGATATACTAACGTATACTAAAATGAACTATGTCGCTCCCAAACCCTATGCACATATTTTCTTTCATCATAAATGCGTCCAAAACGACTTTTATTAGGTTTATTATTCTACTTTATTGACTAACATGTGAATTAAAATTTAAAGCGAACTTCGAGTGGATATTATCCACCGACAGAATCACATAGCTCTTATTGGTCCAGTTGAAACATACATCCACGTAGCAAATTGTTTTTCGAGTAGCCAAGTATTCGTAATCCCTGGCGCATCTGTTATTCCCTATGTGGAAGTACTTAATGCGGACAGGGGACACCAAACTTTTGCGCTAGAAGCACATTTTATTATAAAAATGTTTCAAAAAGTTGTCAATGCTACATTTCCGAAATGTTTCACAAGAAACGTGTCTGGAGCCTTCAAAGTTATCAGGATGTTTCCAGCATATCTTAAAACCTTCACCAAACCACCACTCACGAACTGTCGATGCACCGAAAAAAAAATGAAGTTGATCGAACATTCTAGATAAAAAAAAGTGAAGTTGATTCAACATTCTTGATAAAAAAAGTGTGCGAGAACTTATAAAATGCTGAACTGCCCGCCACAGCAGTAAGTTTTACATCCTGGCATTGCTCAAGTAACTGCTGTAGCGGGTAATTCAGCATTTTATAAGTTCTCGCGCATTTTTTTTTTACAGCTAGGATGTTAAATCAACTTCACTTTCTTTTCGGTGTGACAAATTTCAAAAATAACTTGTAAATGTTCTAAACTTTTAGTCACTTTAATGATACACGTAATTTCGTGCTTGAAACCTGGATTTTGCTTCATGTGACTGTGAAGTTTCTGGTTTCAGGCAGAACAGAGGGCAAAACCCCCGATTTAAGCTTCGGAAAAGTCTTGGCGCTCGGAGCGAGCGAGAGAAACAAAGGAGGTGGTCGCTTTTCGGGCATCTTGGATTTTGTCGAAAGGCGCAATGATACAACTATTTGAACTCTCCGGAATGCGTGAGGTATCACGCCGCATTTGAAGGCGTTTTCAAATCAGCCAAGTTCCGATACCCGGATTATCGTCATGCAAAGTTCCTATTATTATGTTTTATTCCGTACCGCATGTTTATAATCCTAGTATAAAAACCGCCCATTTGCTGAATACAAATATAGCTGGAGCTCACTTCAGCTATGCATTCACCACTGCAAAAATGTCAAAGGAAATCGACAAGCCCAGCGTGCATGAAGGCTATTTCACTTGTAATCTTCCGTAGCAATTCTAAGGCGCAATGATACAACTATTTGAACTCTCCGGAATGCGTGAGGTATCACGCCGCATTTGAAGGCGTTTTCAAATCAGCCAAGTTCCGATACCCGGATTATCGTTTTGCAAAGTTCATATTCGTTTGTTTTATTCCATACCGCTTGTTTATTTATAATCCTCCAATAAAAATTACCCATTTGCTTTATACAATTCTAGCTGAAGCGCACTTAGCCTATGCATTCATGACTGCAAAAATGTCAAAGGAAATCGACAAGCCCAGCGTGAGGCTATTTCCATTTTAATCCTCCGTCACATTCTTACGGCGCAATGATACAACTATTTGAACTCTCCGGAATGCGTGAGGTATCACGCCGTATTTGAAGGCGTTTTCAAATCAGCCAAGTTCCGATATCCGGATTATCGTTTTGCATAGTTCATATTCTTTTATTTTATGCCGTACCGCTGTTTATTTATAATCCTCCTATAAAAATTACCATTTGCTATATACCATTCCAGCTGGAGCGCACTTCAGTTGTGCATTCACGACTGCAAAAATGTCAAAGGAAATCGACAAGGCCAGCGTGCATGAAGGCGATTTCAAATTTGATCTTCCGTCGCATTCCTAAGGCGCAATGATACAACTATTTGAACTCTCCGGAATGCGTGAGGTATCAGGCCGCAACTGAAGGCGTTTTAAAAACAGCCAAGTTTCGATATCAGGTTTGTAGTTTCGCAAGAAATTGGAGCACAAAATGAATAGAATGACTGATTTTACGAGCTGATGCAACTCAATGAATCCGTGTTTTATTTGATTGAAGCGTTAGAAAACAGTTCGGTCAGAAAGAGTCCGTCGATGAACAAAATGACGTTATGGTTTGTTTTCCATACTTTGAATTTCGAACTTTGCTGCCGAATACGTTACGGGGTAAGCAACGGTCACATCCTTTTTTTATCTATGACTTTCAATAATCAGCCTTTGAGTGTTTGCTGTTAACTTAGATATAGATTGTCATTACCGCCTATCTACAGACTGACGATTTTGCAGGAGAAAGAGAAAACTTCGCTATTTTGAAAATGTGAAGGTTAGATTTGAAATTTTTTCATGCACTACACTAAATTGAAGCGCTCCCCTACAGAATCGGGATAAAACTAAAATCATCAGCCTACAAATTTTATACTATAGAATACGGCAAAGTCGCTCACTCATTTTCGTCAAAATCGTCGATTACGTGGTATTGTTCGTTAGCCCTTTATACTGTCGAGCTAAGGAAAAACGTCATATGTACCCTCAGCCGTTGCCAATTTACCTTAGATAAATCTCAGATTTTTGGGTAAATTCGAAAATATTTTTCCTTTGATTTTCCAGAGAATTTCGTTCGCACTTCAATCTAAAACATCTAGAAATCTTTTTTTTTTTTTTAATTCTAGGACTGAGTTTGCTCACTTTGTATATATCAAATTGGTTTATTGTCTCAAATTACATGATTTTGACAATAAAGCTGACTTTGAAAACTTGACAACAACTGCCAGGTAATACTAGCATCAATCTGTTAAAGAGAATTCCAAAAAATATTTGAATTTAACTCGAATGAACTTTTAGACTTGCTCTAAGGTGTGAGCGGACGTGTGATGACTTTGCAGCAAAAACCCAGTGCCGCGAGTTCACCTCCAGTTGGCAGAGCAGTTACGACGCCATTCTAGAAAAAAAGCCGCAAATAGTGATGAGGGCTGGAGCTTGAGTAGCGAGGAAAAAGCCTGAGCAGAAAAAACTCGTTAAAAAATCGTACCGAAGTACTTGCAGGTTCGGTCCACAAGCGGCCCAGGAAAGGTCTAGAAATCTCGAGGAAAATAATCATAAATTTCTTCAAAAATTAACATCATCCAAGAGGAAATTTGGCAGCATCGGAATGCTCATACGGCGTTTTTCCTTATCACGGCAGTATACGTCAGTATTGCCAAAGCTCGATGCGTGATTTTCATCGTTACGGCGACTCTTTCCTCCCACTTTTTTCGCTTTTCGGACTCCTAGAACCCGATCTGGACAGGACCCGATTCAACCAAACATGACCCTTAAATTTGATCACCATCACAGTGATATTGTCCGAAGATTTCCGGAAATACGCGAAATGCGCCAAGCTTTTGGCACCGAAGTGCGGCTCGTCGAGTCGCGTTTTGATGAAGTCGACCGCCCCCTCGTTGGTGACACGGTCCCATAGACCGTCCGATGCCATAATGATGAATTGCGGCTTGTTGCTCAGGTCGAAAATCTTGATCGTGGGGTCCGGGATTATCAATTTTTTGTCTTTCAAGGACATATCGCCGAGTGATCTTGACATTGCTAGTTTTCCATCCACTCGAGCCGTGCTACTTGAGGGATTCCTGCGCCTAACGGTGCCCCCAGCTGCTTTGATTCGTTCTTCTTCTTCTTTCTGAAAATTGACATGAATTAACAGCTCATAGTTAAAATTTGAAGATCAATGGGCTTGTTGCACACTTCAGTCAATGTAAGAAAAATCGAACTATCTTACAGAAAATGGCTCAAACATGCTGCACACTATAGCCACACTGGAAAAAAAATACATTGGACCTAGAGTCCAGACTCTTGAAAACATTCACAAGAAAAAATATTCTTGATTCAATCAGATTTAAGCTTAAATCAAAAGGAAATCCACTCAAATTAAGAGGCTTGGTTCTTGATTTAAGCAAAAATCCGATTGAATCAAGATTATTTTTTCTTGTCGCTGTTTTTAAGAGTCTGGACTCTAGATCCAATGTCTTTTTTTCTCTAGTGCGAGTAAAAAGAATTGAACTATCTTACAGAAAATGGCTCAAACATCGCGATAAGCGCAACGGGAAAGTTTGAAATACACTCTTAATTTCACAATCTAAGTAACAGTCCCCGCTTCAAAAACAATACTACGGCACACGGGCTGATTGTTGAAATTGGTAGACAAAGCCATAGAAAAAGAAGACAAAAGGGATATGAAGGCATCCTTTTTGATGGCGGGGGCGGGTGCTTGCAATGGACGGAATTAGGTAATAGACTAACTAATGGCAACTCACGAGAGACCTTATGATTAATCCATCATTTACCCCCTTAGTCTATAAGAACCACCCATTTCAAGCAATAGGATCGCTCCATAGTACTTGGGTCTTCTTTGTCTATTGCTTCGTTTATAAATTTCAACAATCAGCCCGCAGTCCAACTGACGCCATGCTCTCGAAAAGGTGCTCTTGGGCCGAGATTCGGCAACAAGCGACAGCATGCGGTCACTCATCTGGGGCGCGCGGCGACACTGTAAATTATTCAATAAAAAGCTCGATTACAGACTTATATGTGTGTAATTAAAGGATGAAAAGAGGTGGGTAATAGACTAACTAACGGCAACCCACGAGAGACCCTATAGTTAGTCCATATTTCTCCCTTGGTCAGTAACAACCACACATTTCAACTAATAGGATCGTCCCTTGCTCCCTATGTCTCCTTTGTCTATGACTTTCTCTATTAATTTCAATAATCAGCCCGCAGGTGAGCGTTTCGTCAGAAGAGCCGTCCCATCCAACCCTTGTGCACCAGGATCCTTCGTAATATTCAACAATGCTGACGGCAACCCGCCAAAATCCAATTGACGAGGCAAAGGTTTATCAACTGGCGTGTTAAAATTTACATTTTCCTAGCGTTCATAAAGACTATAGTGCCTCCTCACGATTTGTGCGCGGAAGCGTCAGTCGTATTGAATATTGTGTAGAATCTCGGCGCGCAAGGGTTGGACGGAACGACTCCTCTTACGAAATGTTCATCTGTGCCGTAGTATCGTTACTGAAGCGGGAAGCATAAATAACCGCACATTATATCGCGCATACGTTTACGCTGGTTACAGAATCGTGTGATGACGCTTGATTCTTGCAGATCCACTAAAAATAATGAGATCCGTCCTAACAGAAAATTTCTAAGTTCAGTATTAACCGAGATATTAACCGAGATTATATTATTACCTTTGAAAAATTCGGTTTATGACGTCACCCACCGACACTTGGTTTCTTCCACCCTGGTTTTATCAGTCAGGGAGACACATATTATCACTGGTTACTCGACGTGAAACTCGGATGAATGATATTAGCGCCTGCAACACTGTGGAAATACTTCACACATCGCGCCAAACAGCGTGGTCGGCGTAAACTACATATTACCGCCTACAAGACAGCATGAATACTTCTCGCATTGCGCCAAAAGCAGTGCAGCCGGTCAGTTCGCGTGAAACGCATATTAACGCCTACAGGACTTCGAGTTCAGTCGGTGGTACGCATATTTGCACTGGTTACTTAATGTGGAACTTGGATATAGCAAGGTGGAAGAAACCAATGAGGTCCGTACCGCGGTGGATGACGTCAGAAACCCGACTTTTCAAAGGGCGATATCTTGGTTAATTTTGAACGTAGATGGTTGCTGTTTGAACGGATTTTATTCTCTTTAGCTATCTTCAAGAGTCAAGTAGTAGAAGTATCAAGTATCAAAACACAATTCTGCAACCAGCGCAACTGAACAGTTTCGGATCAAATTGCAACTCATCGCGATCACTGCTTCTTTGGAATGAGCGCCTTGGCTTACATGGTTTACTTCGCTGACTTCAGTTGACTTCAATGCATCTACGAATGCATGATATGCTCATGAGGAAAAGTCCTCTCAAGGTGAACATCCAGTCATGGAGCTGCGTTTACGATCAAAAAGAATGTCAGAGTCACTTTTTTTTCAACCATCAAAGAACTATAAAAAAATTGTGACGTTGCATTGAGATTGTGAATTTTGTCGAACTTAAACTTGAATTACACCTTGTGGCCAGTATGACCAGATCTGCGGATTTCAAAAGTCAAAGTCGAGATTTTAACTTGGATTTCTTGGAGAGAAAAATGGAGAGGTGCCTATGTGCTTGCAAATAATGTTGGGTGTTTGGATACCTCATAATACCGCCATGCTACAAAACAACGCCGTGCGAGTATTCAAGTAAAGTAATGCCAAATTTTCTATTAAAAAATAAAAATTCTAAAGAAGATTTGTGAATATATTTCTCCCAATTTACCAGATAATTTTATTATCAATGTTATCCACAGTATTTGAAAATTTCAGAGGAAAATGTTTATAACTTGTCTCAAAAATGAATACGTATGAAATTTGGCCACATCCCGATGTCAGTCCGCATACAATTTAATTTTTATGAAGCACGGGGACTTAATCTGATTAAGTTTCCATAAATTTTCTGCTCTAGAAGGTTTCATGACGGTTCATATAACCCCCCTTAACTGGCGTCTCTTTAAGCAAAAAAAGGCGGTGCGCCCTTCGTTTCTCGCGAGTCATTTTCTTTTTTCATTTTTAAAATGTGATGACAACCGCTGGCTCTTGATGAGGATGTGGGTAAAAAACGTGATCTCAAAATCGCGAGATTAAAATTATTGTTCATTTCTACTTGCATACCAAGTCTGGTTTGTGATCAACCGATAGTAGAACGGTCTCTCCCGAGGCATCGCACATCACTCCACGCGAGTCACCGACATTCGCCACGTATAGTTTCAATCCGTCAAATAGAGCTAGTAGCGCAGTAGTTCCTGGAAAAGGATAAAATAGTTGATAATGGGTCTGTTGCAAGCAAGAGATACAGCCAACTGGATACGCTCTTGTCTGTGGCGTTTTTTTTTTTTTTTTTTTTTTTTTTTTTTTTTTTGAAAAAAGCTCTTTCGAAGATCTCATAATGATTTCTATGAATTTTTGAAAGAAATGAGAGGACTCCTCTTGCAAGGGCTTACGGATTTTTTTCCAAATTTTTACCCTAAATAATTAGCCCATTATGACACTTTAAAGTATTAAAATGTGATTGGAATGTATGAGTTCCACTTAAAATTTTCTGCAGCTTTTCCTAAATTATTTCAAATACATTCACGGGAAATTCCTTAAAAATAAGTAAAACAGATAAATAGATAGATAAATATAAATAAATAGATATATAAAATAAAATAAACACGGCCCAGCGTTCTGGAACATTGCAATTGTGGCACATTTCCCCCTGAAATTATGATGAAAACTGGAAGAAAACGCGAGTCAAGAATTACGACCCATGCGCCAGTCAGCGCAGCATGGTTGTGTCATCGTAACAGTGTAACGCGCCTTCAATTACACCTAGCGGCAATATGGGCGTCACCCGTGGTCGAATAGTTATCTCACAGACGCCTTCCTTAAATGATGGCAAATACACACTACACATTTGCGTGGCGTACTTTCCGATGTATCGATTGATCTGTCATTTCAATCAATGGGAAAGGATCGATAAACAGGGTGTTTGCAACGAACACCTCGGTAATAATCGATTGTTTACCACAGCCTAAAAAAAAAATATTAATCCATCATTCAAGCACGCCACTGGTCTCCATAAGACTCAATGTTGAAGACAAACTTTAATGATTGTTTTCAAGTTCGAAACAAATTTCATCTGCTTCGAATTTTCGACAGGAGGCGACGTGCAAGTTGAATTAAAAACTAATCCAAACCCCTTTCCCCCAAAATTCTACTTCGTGTATATCTATTTAGCGCATTCAATAACTGGATTGACCTTCCCGCAGATATTGCTTAACTTTAATTTCACTTCTCGATAAAATATATTCCTGATAAAGAAAAATTAGGTAGATTGATAGAAACAAGGGTATATCACGAATATGAAAATATAGATTAGACTACCGCCTGCCTTGAACTTCGAATCGGTCACTTTCCTGGCTTCATCCAAAAGTGCTGCATCTGTTGCTATGATAACATCCTCCAAAATTTTTTCATAGTCAATTCCTTCTTCTTTCACATATTCTGAAAGAACTACCACAAAAATGTCAAAATTAAAAACATAGCGCCAGTTTTGCATGAAAGCTGTTTGTTCCTTTGCCCATTTACCGGTACTTGACAAAAATTCAATCCTTTCAAAAATATATTAAAATAAACAAATCTCGGAATTTCAAGATTTGGAGCATACTCTAATCTTTTGAAAAATGGACAAAGGCAACCTCAATCCTCTCTGAGGGCCTATGCAACAACCGTTTCGTGGTGTCGTGAACGGTGGTCTAACTGTGGCGTGGTATGCTTTGCGATGTATCGATTGATCTGCCATTTAAACCTATGACAAGGATCGATAAACAGGGCGCTCGCAACGAACTCCTTAATAATCGATTCTTTACCGCAGTTTCAAATGGCGAAATATGGATAATTGACAATCACACCTCACCACTGCGGTAGAATGAGACGTAGATCGCGATAATTTAAAAAAATATGTCTTAGAATATGTTGGCAAAATTTTGGGATTTTTAAGTGTCCTTTAATCTCTCGAAAAAATCTTTGACTTCAAAATGATAATAAAACTCAGTTCATCGTTCAAGATAATTTGCGACGTTGCTATGTTTTTTTCTAAAATTTTTACTTAAGCATTCTAAATATTTTAATGAAATTGTGTTACATTTTCGACAAAGAGGTTGTTCCAAAAACGCCGATTTTGGCCTCCCCCCTGGATTTGGCCCAAATTTTACTCAGATGTTGTACTTAGTGTCCCCGATGTTTGGGCAAAATTTCAGCCCCCTCGGATAATTAGGGGGGAGGGGGCAGGGGGGCAAAGTTGCAATTTTTTTAAAACTTTAAAAATCGATATCTCGCGAACGGTTTTAGTGTAAGTGTCTCTACAAGAATATTAATGCTGTTTGCAAGGTTGCGTAATTTATCGCGGTCATAAATCGATTTTTTCGATTTTGAGGGTTCGACTTTTTTTCGTTTTTCGTCTCTCCTCTCTTTTGAATCGTTGCTACGTGAATAAAAACCTGTTGAGGTGATTTTTCATAAAATTCTGCATCTACCACACTTTGTTTGATCTTGGGGAAACGATTCGTTCGTGAGTTAGAGCGATTTTTCTGCGCATTATCGGTTACGCGCGGGCGGCTTATCGGCGGCGCTCCATCCCGCGCGGGCTAGGCAGAGGTTGTTTCACCGCTAGGGCCTTATATTCATGCTGTAGGCTGTAATTATCGATATTTTTTCCTCCCCCCACCCTTCCCCTGCAATAAATATTTGTTTAATACTTCGTTATACGGGGTATCCCAGACCACCCGTAACAGGTCTTTTTCTCGGTTGGTTTAGGTAGTACGAAGTGGGGGGCCGCGGGATTGAATAGGGAATTGACCCCAAGGAATCCGAATTTCACGGTCCCGAAACCCCCCATGCCCCCCTTGGGAGGTAAAGAGGGGGGCACGATCCCCAAAGTCGGGAGACATTGTGCTTCCCCCTTTTACCCCCCGAGGGTGGCTAGGGGGGCATCGGGACCGTGAAATTCGGATTCCTTGGGGTCAATTCCCTATTCAATCCCGCGGCCCCCCACTTCGTACTACCTAAACCAACCGAGAAAAAGACCTGTTACGGGTGGTCTGGGATACCCCGTATAACGAAGTATTAAACAAATATTTATTGCAGGGGAAGGGTGGGGGGAGGAAAAAATATCGATAATTACAGCCTACAGCATGAATATAAGGCCCTAGCGGTGAAACAACCTCTGCCTAGCCCGCGCGGGATGGAGCGCCGCCGATAAGCCGCCCGCGCGTAACCGATAATGCGCAGAAAAATCGCTCTAACTCACGAACGAATCGTTTCCCCAAGATCAAACAAAGTGTGGTAGATGCAGAATTTTATGAAAAATCACCTCAACAGGTTTTTATTCACGTAGCAACGATTCAAAAGAGAGGAGAGACGAAAAACGAAAAAAAGTCGAACCCTCAAAATCGAAAAAATCGATTTATGACCGCGATAAATTACGCAACCTTGCAAACAGCATTAATATTCTTGTAGAGAATATTTTTTGACGTTTTTTAAGCGCAAACCGCAACACTTACACTAAAACCGTTCGCGAGATATCGATTTTTAAAGTTTTAAAAAAATTGCAACTTTGCCCCCCTGCCCCCTCCCCCCTAATTATCCGAGGGGGCTGAAATTTTTCCCAAGCATCAGGGACACTTAGTACAACGTCTGAGCAAAGTTTGGGCCAAATCCAGGGGGGGGGGGCCAAAATCGGCGTTTTTGGAACAACCTCTTTCAAAGCAGTTGGTAGAAATAGACTTATTGCATTTAAATCTGATTACATGCTTAAAGTATTAGTAGTAGTATAGTATTAGTGGTACTAATCATTTGTTCGACTCCTAAGCAACAATTGGCTACAAGTCAATAGGATTTTTATGATTTTTTTTTTTTAAATAAATAAATACATAACATAATTGTTAGCCAGTTAATAATCTTTTCCACTAAATTTTTCCAGAACATATGAGTACCCCAGAGCAAAAAGCTACCTAACTCAATTTTAGTCTTTTCGAGATATCAAGGGAGCCATACGCGTCGGCCCCATTGATTCCATTATAAATCGCAATTTTTGAAACCCCGTATCTCATAATCAGCGCAAGATAGGGCTACTAAAATTTTTCCACACGTGGAACCGTTAGTGGAGATTTCGAAAACGCCACTAACCTGATTTTTTAAAAAATATGAGTTTGGTACATTTCAGCCTTTGAGTACTAATGTAATAATGAGATACTCACTTGCTCGTTTCCTAGGAGATGATGGAAAAGATAGAGAGAATGGGGATGGCCATGAGTGTGTTCTCTTGAATTTTTGCTTCGGTTGCACAGATTTTATTTTACTTATTATATTAGGCACCAGGTTATCTTCAGCGTATTTTACAGCAAACTGCAACCAATAGAACAACAAGCGTCACACTATTGTACCCATTTAACCAGCTGCAAAACTAAAAAGTGGTGAAGAATCAAACCTAACGCACCTTTACTATTCATTCATCTCAAGGAAAGTAAGTAATGAATGGTAAAAAATAAATTGAAGAAGGTATGTCAGCGATCTTTACATTCGTCTCAGGATGAAATTAGATGCAAATCAGGACAGGTGATTGAGAATTAGCACAGTGCGCATTTTGCATCCCAATATGAGAATAATAATTTCATGGAGACATTTCAGTAGTATTAATTGAAGAGTTTACCGGTGGGAAGGCATCTTTGAAAAATATATATGTTTCGAGCAAAATTTATTTGAAGATTTGAGAATGTAGCTTACTCATTTTGGCCTTTAATTCCGCATAGGCACATTAGACCAACATGGAAAATGACAAAGATGCGATGCTGCTGTTGATCTGATTTTAGAAAAAAGTCCAATTACGCAATTATTGCCATTATATTTATTTTTCTTTAAATTTTTTGTGAGTTTAATTCAGTTCTTCGTTTTTTCCGCTTTGGTAACTCTTTATTCTAGAGAAAATTTAAGTCTAAAGTGCTGGCCATAAAATATTACTCTCTTTAGTTTAAAACTTCCGTAAGACGCGTTCCGCAAATGAATTAGCGTTGGTCACTTGCAGATCTGATACTCCAAAAATTTTCTTCATAAAATGAGGCATCATTTTCCCAGGTCAAAAATGTGCACGGTACTTTTCATCGGCAGAGTTTTCGTGATGAAGATCGTTAATTGTTCGGCCTCAGTCGCGCAAAATTTGAAAAAATAGATATAGAGCCAAGTCTCGACATTTTAATTGAAGCGTGTGAGCGTGATTTGTATGACTTTTTGGAATTCGTTGATCAACCGATCGAGGCCTGCTAAGCAGAGCCCGAACGATGAGTCTGTATGCGTGTTTGAGGCCCTTGATGTTTGACGAATTCTTCGAATATTGAACTAGTATCAAGCAGCGTCGATTCTTGTTTTCGCAAAATGCCCTCCCATGGACCCAAAAAATAAATAAGGACCCCCAACCCCCGATACAAACCTGTATAAAAAACCGTTATTGCACACGGATTGATTTTAAACTGTACAGCAGGATCTATAAGCATGAATCATGTGTTGGTCAAAAAATGAACTCGGAACAGCACTTGGACCGCGCAATCAAAACAAATCGTGCCGATTAATCTGTTATAAACTTTCGGTACATCGTCACGGAATGAGAGGAATGATAGCCAAACTATAAAATATAATGGAACTATGCATACTGCTAGAGAGTTCGCTAAAATACAACAAACATTACCAGATTTCTTGCTTGACACAATGGTTTGCCTCGAATTTGATCATATCTATCATTTCTCGTTGTTTGCCTTGTCAGTACTCAATAAATGTCATACGAATTCAATGTCTATATAAAAAAAAAAATAAAAAAATAAAAAAGGTTTATCTTACAACATTTTTGCCAGGTAGTGCTGAGATTATTTTGATCTAAACCCTCATTAAATACCCACAATTCATTGCACAATTTGACATGTCTTACAATTGTCTGTCGTCGAGAGGCTTTGCACGCTAGTAGTTTTGATCGAGAATTTGGATTGAAATGCACCCGATCACTTTTCCAGTTGGATAAATGGATGTTACTTACTATTATTACGAGTGTCATATTATAAAAACCATCACCATACCTCTCCGCTGTGCCCGTCAAAAATCGCGAAGATAGACACTCCTACATCCGTGGTCTCTCGCACAATGAACCTATCCTCCATCTTTTTCCTACGTCCTTGAATAGCAAAAACCGCTGCGCTCTTCCCAACGATTTCCCAACTTTTTTCATCGACCAGATCAAAATCGAACTCCGAAAAGGGCACATGTTTGGAATCCTTGGCTGGTTCTTGAGAATGGAATGAATTGGATGAGTTGCAATGACTATCTTGGCATTGATTTGTGATCAGTTTGCACTATTGAATCTGAACAGGTTAACACACTGTCATAAAGCAAGCTTGCAAAAGGAGTGCCACTTCTTCCTAAAAGTATGTTATTTGTTGAATTGGTTGCCTGACTTTCCCATAGTTATAGAACCGTAGTGGCGATTCAGCTAGATGGCAACGATGTTTTACCACACTGGACAAAAAATTTCGGTGTATTTACTAATAAAAGGGTAAAATTACCAAGAATTTAGGGTTCTATTTGATCCCAGTTTTTTCTTGGTAAAACTACCATTTATGGCATTGGTAATTTTACCGAGAAATCTCGGTAAAATTATTGAACTTTCTCGGTAATTTTACTGGGCCTTTGGTAAAAACGCCAATATTTTTTATCGACTGTGGTAGAATTACCGAGATAAAATGGCAAAGTTACCGGGAATTGATTACCGATAAAAGTGGTATTCTTACCTGAAAAAACAGTGAAAATACCGGTTTTCAGGTAAGCTTACCAGTCTGTCTCGGTAAAATTACCAGTAATTGGTAAAAAAAGTGAGATTGTAAAGGTACCAACGGACCATGGTAAAAACGCCGAGAATTTTTTTTCAGTGCACCATTTGTATGTTTTTTGAAGCGATCGATTCTTGATGAGGCATACTGGAAAAAAACTCCGGTCGCAGAAGCCGTACTTACGGGCTATATAGATGTACCGTCCACGTTCCGGGCTCAGAGGCCGAAACTTCCGGGCATAGCACCCGGAGCAGTCGAAACTACGGCTCCAGCACCCGGAAGTTTTGGCCTCGAGCCCAGAACGGACGATATGCCGAAATAGCCCGTAACTTTTTTGTTTCAATGCAGCACGTCTCATCGAAAATCGACAATTTTAATGGATTTAAATGTAGTATTAACAGCGTTGCCAACTCGCTACAATTGCCACTGCAGAATCTCGTTCCGATAATTTACCCCCGCACAAAGATTTCATCATCCATTGAGAGAGAGACCCAGTGCCGATCGAATAGATATTGATTAGCTCATGAAATTGTTTTTGATTATTTTACAAAAAATAAATGCATTTGAAACGTCGAAAAATTTCGTCAACCATAACACATCTTCATGAGGATTTCAATTATTTATTCATTCTTACAAGAGTAAATAAGAGTTTTTTTTAGCATTTAAGATTATCTTTAAGAATATTGATTGCCAAAACCACGTATCTTCATTGTGATGTTTAAAATTTCCACTTGTAGTTTATTTCTTCGAAGATAAACAAGCCGACCCTATAGCTTGAATTTACGCGGCTTTTTCTACTGTTAGAGAGGAGAAATGATGGAAGTTTTCAAGAAATTTCGTTAAGCGGTTTTCCAAAGTAAAAACAATGTATGACCTAAATTCTGCAACGTCATGGGCACAGATACGTGGTTTTGTACTTTGGCCATCGATATTACGATACTGCCGAGCTAAGCAAGAACGCCGTAAAGCCATCAAGATATTCCCTCGTTTTTTCGAACTTAACACTTTATAAAGTAAAGACTGTATTGCCCATGCACCTCAAATTTTCAGGTTAAGTTCTTGATAGTATTTGCAAAAGAAAGCTATAAAAAACTTTTTCCCACGGTACAAAAGTTTTTCTGCTGATACATTTGTTCCAAAAAATGTAAAATGGCTTTTACGGCAGTTGTGAGTGGCACGACAGAATATACCATGGAATAAATAGGGTTTGATGCAGGGAGGTGGGGATTGTCGCTTTCCATGAAAAATGCCTATGAGCATGAACGCGGTAAAAGTTCAATAAATAGAAGTACTTATACCTTTGCTTTATATTTGCAGGACTGCATCATGATGAAAATCAATTTTAATTTCGCGTGGAGTATTAAAACCGCAGTGATCTATTTGTATCAAATCATGTCATGTCTAAGTTCATCGCAGTATAATTACTGAAGCAAGCAGCTCAGAAATACTCTCATTTTTTGCACGAATTGTAAAATTAAGAGTGATTTCTGAGTTTTCTGATGAAAACATCGTGATTCTTCAATAACTCTCTCGTTGATCATTTTTTTCCGCTCTGACGAGAGTTTTCAAAAGACTCATTGTCATTAAAAAATGGCGTCTTTTCAGCTGCTGGTGCATATTTTTAAGATTACCTTTACGGTTCTGGAGGTTGAGTGCATGTCTCCGATGAAGTCTGGATGCCGAGTGCAGGGCTAAAGACGGAGGCCATGAGGAAGGGAATGAAGAACGAGACGATATAGCTCTTTCGATGTTTTCTCTTGAATATATCTTGGTCCAAGGGGGTGGGAAGTTGTCAAAAACCTCTAATAACACACAGAATTTTTCAATTTTTTTATGCTATATTTTTCTTTTTGAATTGAAGAGAGTACATAAAGAAACATTTCTATATCACGTGGAAAAAAATTCAAAATATTTCATTTCGAGTGCATTTGATCGTTAAAAGTGGAGAGATGTGAAATAAGTGAGTCGAATTGAGGAAGCAAGTTTAAAAATGCAGTCAATATTACAATGAAAAGACATTATCGCCGGAAAAAATACAATAAAGCCATAGTGGTCTTCAATCAAAGATCCTCGAATTTATAATAACTTAGCAACTATTCGAAGCAACCCGAGCTCCGTCGCCACCGACTGTGTAACCAGAAAATATGAACAACGAAAACAACGATGAAAGCAATGGACCCAAAATGCAACGGGAATAATAAAAATACGTAGCCAAGAATAAAAATTGTGGATGATCAAACTAGATCAGATTATGATGTGTACATGTAAAATTTCAACATTTGTTCATTTTCAAATATACACTTCCATTTCATCGGGATGAAAAATGAGTCATTAGGCCCCCGAACTGTTCTGGCTTTTTAATTTTTTTCATTCTGAAAATTTTGTAGAACCGCTGAGCTAAATTGTGATATTCAACACATTTTTCGCTTTTGGTAAGATTTAGAGTGAGCAGCGTCTAATGGCTGCCTCGTTTTTTTAAGATGAGAGACTAAAGAGCAACACGCTCTTCGGATGTGGTTGACGTTGTCAACATTTTGATTGCTGCTCGTAAAAAGCATGCTTCTTGAAAAACCAAGTGAACTAACGGACGCCTTGCTTTTAATGTCATGATTTTTTGCTTAAAAAACCTGCTTAGCCCAGCTTCGGTTATGACGTCAACAACGCAACGGCTAGAACCAATTAACCCTCAGACCTCTGAAAAATCGTAGCGCGATTACCGTTTATGCCACAGGTTTCCAATTTTGTATGTATCTCTAGAAGGCCATAATCTATGCAAGAAAAATACATATAGCGCTCTCTGATGAAATATCTGAGAAGTAACATCAGTATACCAACTGAATTTTTTTTTTTTTTTGGGGGGGGGAGGGGGGAGAATGTTCAACTTCGCCGTTCTTTTGTGTCCGCCCTAATGGAGATATTGGATTAAAAAAAATATTTTGACATCAATAAGGGCTAGATCAAGATTTCCCGCGTTTTTTGGAACTTAATACTTCATAAAATAAAAAATGTTGTACCCATGCACCTCAAATGTTAAAGTTCGGTTCTTGATAGTATTTGCGAAAGAAGTCTGTGAAATCATTATCTCAAGGTACACAAGTTTTTTCTGCTATTATATATTGTTCCCAAAAAATTTAAAATGGCGTTCACGGCGTTTTTGCATTGCACACACACTGGAAAAAAAAACACATTGGATCTAGAGTCCAGATTGTTGATATTGACAAGAAAAAATACTCTTGATTCAATCGGATTTTTGCTCGAATCTAAACGAAATCCGCTTAAATTAAGAGGCTTGGTTCTTGATTTAAGCTAGATTCTGATTGAATCAAGAGTACTTTTTCTTGTCGATGTTTTTAAGAGTCTGGACTCAAGATACAATGTGGTTTTTTTTCCAGTGCACCTAAAAATTGGAATGAAAAGGTTTCTTTATGTTTTGTCATTACCTGAGAAGCAAGAGGAAAGTTCCTTCGTTTGGAAGGAGCGATTGAAGGACGGACGGGGTATCCGACCAAGACGGGGGGATAACCGACTGGAAGACCAGGGAGGAGACTGAAATTGGGGGTTGGGCACCTCCACAGTACACCTGTACCTCAAGCCGCCGTGAGTGTGTTTCGGAGAACACTTGGCATTCTGAGAGTTAGGGCATTTGTTCTCAGCATCGTCGGTTCGACTATCAGTAATCAAATTTGCGGCATCCATACAACAACTGTTGGCTTTATCAAGGTCCGATGATTTAGCATTGCTCGACAGAACATAGCAAGGTCTCGCCAATCTAATTGCCTCCATTTGCAAGCTATAAATCTGGCAGAAAATAGTTTAATTAGAAAAGAGGGCCGTATTGGAGGTAGGATGACAAGGAACGTAAGGAAGAAATGAAAGATTGGACATTTTTCAGTGAAATTTTCATGTAAGTTCGCGAGGCTGTGAAATCTTTCATATTTTTCAGGGGCTAGATGATGCGACCCGCACTCAAACATACAAAAATAGAAGAAACTCACAATTTTTACATTTTGCGGAACATGAAAAGGAACCGTTTTTTTTTGTTCAATATCTTTCATAGATATCAGGAATTTCATGAAATATTTCACGTGAAATTTCAAGATTTCATTTTTCGTGAAATTTCAAGATTTCATTTTTTGTGAAATTTCAAGATTTCAGTTTTCGTGAAATTTCAAGATTTCATTTTTCGTGAAATTTCAAGATTTCATTTTTCATGAAATTTTGCCACCCTGATTGGAGGCATTTCTTGGTTGCGATGTTTCAGAATCTCTACTGCTAATTTATGTTTTAGAGAGGAAACTTTAGGGTAAGTTTTTTTTTTTTTTTTTAAATTTCTAGTCTTCAGCATTGTAAAATCTTAAAGAAAATCCAGTAAAATTTCTAACGGATTCCCTGTGTTAGGTTTTATTATACGAAATGATAATGATGATGATGATGATATTTGTGTTATGTCATTTATACATCATATATGCTTTAAATATGTATTTTTTTCAAACATTTAATTATAGCTTACAATTTCAAAAATTAAGAAATTTTCTCTTTCTCTCAGCGCGGAAGTTTTAGAGATCAGAATCACGTTTCTATGGCTCAGGCGTTATTACGATGTTTTCCAGCGGGCTAATTGTTCAAATTAATAGACAAAAATATAGATGAAGAAGACATAGGGAATATGGATGGAGCGATCCTATTGATTGAAATGGTTGGTTTCTGTAGACTGAGGGGGAAAATGATGGACTTATAACAAGGTCTCTCGTTAGTTACCGTGAGTTAGTCTCTTACCTGCCTACCTTCTATGTCCATCCCAACCACCCGCTCCCACCAATAGAATTCCTCCATATCCTTTTGTCTTCTTTGTCTATGGCTTTGTCTATCAATTTCAACGATCAGATTGCAGGTGGAGGGATGTAATGTAACTCTATTTCAATGCCACAAAATTCCCACTCGCGAATCGAATTTTCACGTAAATATTTTTGGGCTATTTCAGAGACTTTTACTTTAATTAATAAGCCCCAAATAAACGGTAAGAAAATCACAATTTCATAATTTCTAAACAAGGAAAATCAATTTTTAGCTAATTTTGTAACCTCGCAATGGAGTCACGTTTTTAAGACCAATGAATTGTTGCTCCCCAAATGTGTCGATCAAAAAAAAAAAATCGAGTGATTATAACAGTTTTGCTTACCGCTCCTGCGCACAAATGAGACGACAAAATCACAAGGGTGAGAACATAATTTTCCAACATATTTCGGAACCAGGGTATTTATAAGGTTAAGCAAGGACCATTTTATAACTGAGCAGGTATGATGCAGAAAATGATCGGTGAGACACTACTGTAGGAGACTGAGAGAGAAGCTGAGCAAAAGTACCTGCGTGACCGCGGGTACATTTTGAAGTAGAGAGAAGTAGATAGGAAAAGTGCAATATCGACGGCGAAACTACCAGACCACGTATCTCGGCTTGCGACGTCGCAGACTTCCTATCATTCTTTATTTTTTAGATGGAAAACTACTCAACGGCAATTCTTGAAAACTCACGTGAATTGTCTCCTCTATGTGAAGAAAAATCTGTGCAAAATTCAAGGAATGATATTGTTTTGTTCTTCTTTACGAAAACAAAATGGGAGCGGAGATTTTTGAAAACCGAAAACGAGATACGTGATCTGGTAGATTCACCAAGGATTTGCTTTACTCTGACGTTCCATATATCACCGCCGCAGTTTTTGCACGTGAGCGAGAATAAGCTCACCGTCATACGTGAAAGTTTGCGTCACAAGCTGATCTGAAAAAAAAAGCCGAATAAGCCTTCGGACGTTGCTAGATGTCCTCTCATAAAATAAACATTTTTAGGGAAGCCTGTAGAAATTTTTAAACAATTATTTACAGGATTTCATTCGTATTTGAGGCATCTGAAAATTTGAATTCATAAATAATCTCAAAAATATATTTTCGTCGTGGGAAATTTAGCTACGTTCAAATGCTCATGCCACTGACAATTTTGCAAGCTGGCAACACTGTTTTGTTCATGAAATAAATTACTCATAGGTGAGGCAAGCCGTTTAACCTTAATCGATTGTTTTAAAGATATTTAAATTGAGGAAAAGTAGTGTTGCCAACTTACAAATATCGCTGCTGGCTTATGCGGCGGCGGCGTTTCCTTTTAAGATGACACTAATGTCATATTATCCGCATATAGAAGTATAATTCATTTCTCACGTGTATGTACCGGCCGAATCATCAGCTTTAAATAAATCTGTCAAAGGTATTTTTTTAATTAATTTATTTTTTTAAAGAAAAATAAATAGATGGTATTGAACCTTACGGTGGTTGGTTTAGTGGCTACAGGACTTCATTACATACAAGATTTTCGGGTCTCTTTTTTCGCACAAAAGACACAGCGGCAAAATTTGGCAAGTCACTTTTTAATTTCTGTAACATCGCGAGTGGAAATGAAAAGACGACCGCTTGACGCTGTTTTTGTGTTAACTCAGTGCAACTTGTAAAGTTATCCGCCTTGGCGTGGTCCTAGTATTGCGGCGATTTTAGCGTTGTGCAAGCCAGGGAAGGGAGCGCGGTCGAGTGTCAAGTCATCTTCACAGCTTGGTTTGCCTTCAATCCAGCTAGTGATAATGTGCCTATACTCGTAGTCGAATGGTTACCGCAAGTAACTCTCGCATCGCGTTCGGTGCAATGCGAGAAGTATTCATGCGGTCTTGTAGGAGCTAATATGCGCGCACTGTTTGGCGCGAAGTATTCTTGCAGTCTTGCCGGCGCTGATATGAGTTTGTCGCCGACCGCACCATGTTAGGCGAGATTATTCGAACTTGCGCTAAGATAATTGCGGCATCGAACAATGGAGCTCAAAAGGCGCATGCTGTATTTTGACGCTGTATGAGCATTCCAACGTTGCCCCGTTTCTCCCGATAAAATATTTTATCTGAAAAAAGTTAGGAAAGTTCTGTATGTTCACTTTTTTAGATTGAATGGACCATTTAACGAAGTACGAATTTAAGCACTCTGGTACATGATTCTTCAACAAAATTTTACGTAGAACACGATTCGCGCAACCAAAAGTACAGAAGTCGACTTCCCGCTAAGATATTAACGTTTTCATTGTCAATTGGTCACGGGAAATTTAAATTGCCCGGTTACAAGAAAATCAAAACCCTACGCGAGTCAAATTTCGCACTACAACGGCTTTAGCAGACTATTCAACCGAGAATTATTTCTTTCCCACACTGTTGTTAAAAAAATGTATAGCTTGGGCTGAGCGTCAAGGTTCAGGTTGCCATATCATATTACTGAGACTGTCCTCGTGACGTTTGGCGCGCAATTTAACCCAAGTAAATTACTGACGGCTCGCGAAGCGAGTTTATTGGTTTCTGACTGGTCGTGCTGTCATGCTAAGGAAAAACGCCGTAAGAGCCTTCAGACGTTCCAAATTTCCCCCCAAAATATTTGTTTTAAGGAAAGTAATGCATATTATTCCTTGAAATTTTCTGATATTTTAGATCAAATTACGAGCAAAGTTCTTTGAAAATTCGACGGTAAAACATTTGCAAATTTTCCCGAAAATTGGTGTTTTGTCGAAGGAAATTCGGCAACGCCCGAAGGCTTATACTGTGTTTTTCTTTAGCATGGCAGTATAGAGGTTCGTATCACGACCTGGAGCGGCCAGTCACTCTACGAAAAATTATGTATTGCAGAGTCTCGGTCTAATGCCGCCGGTCAAAACAATTGATCGAAAATATTTTTTTGAATCCTCGTAGACACATTTTGTCGGTCGGAACTGAGTTAAAACATGCTTATAAGTCATTAAAATTTGTCCCAGGCACTCTTAAAAGGGTGAGGTTATTTTTTTTTCTATATAAGAATACGTTGGAAAATTTTCGACTGAAAAGTTGAGTCTTAAAATATTGTTGATAATTCTTGGTAAAAGCTGCTTATACTTAGAACAGGACATAGTTCTCCAGGAAAAAAGCGAGATATCACGGTCACGCACCTTTTCCATCAGCATGTAAAAAAAAGAAAAAAGGGAAACAAAATTTTTACACCAAAGAACGTTCGAATTCAATTTTTTTTTCAACTTAAATATAAAAATTTAAAAGCACGTTGAAATGTCTGAATTCTCTGTACAGTCAATTCAACCTGCGTCTTTCCTCTTTTCTCTCAGACTAAATTTTCAGAAAACCATGAGGCCAGAGAAAATATAAAGGTTAACTTCGTCGTTCTTCGAACGCAATGTATTAAACATGTCGATTTTAGGTGAGGCAAGAATCGATTGTTTAACAAACATTTAAGTGGAAGAAAAATAGTGTTGCCAACTTTCAAGAATCTCCACTGTCCGGACAACCAAAAATAACTTTATCTCAAGGTTACTAATGCACGGTTAAAAATGCACAGACTCATTCGTCTGTGCATTTTTCTTTCCAAAATTGTAGTGACTTTTGCTTGGGATGAGAAGAAAAATCGGGGAAATTTCAGTCATCAGAACTGCTTAGAATTCCGTTGGTAAAAATTCACTTTGGGAGGAGAAATTTGGCAACATTAATATGTACAGGTTTTCTCGTGAGAGAAACGGCGACTTTAACACTTGCCATTTTTTTTCTCTGAATTTAGATGTAAACATGGGAACAAGGTCATGTTAGTCTGACTTTACAAATGTTCCCTTTTTAACCGCACCCTAAGCATACGTCATGCATTTTGACACAATGAACTGCAAATTAAGAGAAAACTATGATTCATAGCTATGTATTAGGAATGGAGATGTTGCATGTGTGAGAAATTTGCGCTTCGACTATTGATTCTTAGGTAAAAGTTCGCGAGAAACACGATGGTCCCACTGATTTTCCCTGAAATCAACTCCCAAGCTCAAAAACCGCTCTCAAAGTTAATGCTGTAGTGGAGGGGATATCCTACGCTATCCTGAGAGTCCACGTCTACATGGAAACAAACTCTCGATGCAAAGATGGGGAGCAAATACATTAGCAGGGTTGCCGTGTTTTCAGTTTTAGAGCCCCCAAATAAAGTAGCAGCCCTGTCAATGTATTTGCTCCCTATAGCTTTGCATGGAGAGTTTGTCTTGATGTAGAGATGGACTTTCAGGATAGCGTGGGATGTCCCCTTTATTACGCTCTCAACTTTGAGAGCTTTTTTTAGCTTGGGAGTTGATTTCAGGGAAAATCAGAGGCACTATCGTGTTTCTCGTGAGCTCTTACATATGAATCAACAGTCAAATCGCAAATTCCTCCCACATGCAACATCTCCACTGTGATGGGGCGTTTAAAGTCCTCGGTTGCCAAATCTGTCCTTTTTATTGGGGAAGTGAGGTCTCAGTCACGTGAGACAGATCAGTCAAGTTTATCCCTGGTCCCACAGAGTCTAGGATTTATAACCCTCGTTGCCTAGTTTATGTTGGGTGTGCACTCTAACCCTCTCACATCGGGATTATTCGATGACCCCCATTGGCGGCTTGAGAGGCAAAAGCCTTGGGAATTAGCCGTTGAGACATTCACCTAAACGATACCTTAGCTAGGTAGCAACTCACAAAATAGAACCAGTGTCGTGGAGTGCTTTGCGATTGATCGATTGATCTGTCATTGGAACTTATGGAAAAAGTTTGATAAACAGGGTGCTCGCAACGAACACCTTAATAATCGATTCTTTACTATAGGTTTAAATGGCACAACAATCTATAAATCGCAATTCAGACCACGCCACTGAATAGAACCACTCGCGGGGTGGCTCTATTGTTACTATCAGTGGCGCGGCGTGCTTTGCGATATATCGATAAGTCTGTCATTCAAACCTATGGGAATAAAGGATCGATAGACGGGGTGTTCGCAGCGAACACCTTAATAATCGATTCTTCACCATAGCTTCAAATGACGAAAATTCGATAATCGATCATTTACGCCACGCCACTGGTTACTATATCTTATTAATCTGCTGAAGTTTTAGTTCACAGTTAATATGATAGCTGTTACGTCAACTTTACTCATCGTCAGAAACTCCGAGTCGATTCGTTTTATTTTTTATGCTACTTATTTTCTGATGTTTTCATTTTTATTTTACTTCAATCCCTTATCATAATGTTTACTTTAATTTATTTTAGTATTTTTGTACTTTGTATCTTATATTTTTTTAAAGTTGAAGGACGAATGAAGGAAGTAAAGACGAGAAGAATAACGACGAAGAGCGTGTACGTTTTAATGTATTTATTTTAAGAAAATAGACTTAAATCCTTGGGTTAAGTACTAGTAGTTATAACATTTACGAACATTGTAATTGACACCCCAGGAGGGGTGGTTGTACAATTGTATCGAGTTAATAAACAAAAACAAAACAAAAAACAAAAAAAATACAAATAAAGGCAATCAGGGACGAAATGTAGGGCCTAAAGAAACGCGTACACAGGAGTTCTGTAGATTTTAGACTCAT